ATCAGTAAGTTTCTTACACCCCTGTACATGTAGCCTTAGCTTGTTACTTGTTTCTGTCACATGAATTCACATTGGCTGCTTCAGGGGGCACAGTTGTGGGGTCATGACTGGGCAGCATTATGCATCCTGTGCCTCCTCCTGTAAAGATTTGACTTCCTCTCTAACCTGTCATTGTAAAACTCAGAATACCGCACCTAGGCTGCATGGTATTTGCAAGTACATTATATAATTTTCTTTTTATAAGTGTCAAAGTTAGGGATGCACCGATACCAATACTAGTATCGGTATCGGTGCTGATGCCGAGTACTTGTACTCGCCCAAATGCTCCGATGCCTAGCCCGATACTTCCGGTATCACGCAGCCGGGCAGCGAGTCATTACACGCTGCTCAGCTTCCTGATTGGCAGTGAAGCCGGCTCCATGCTCCCTGAGTCGGCTTCCCGGCCAATCAGGAAACCGGGCAGTGTGTAATGACTCGATGCCTGGCTTCCTGATTGGTCAGGAAGACATCTTCATGCTCCCAATCAGGAAGCCGGGCAGTGTGTAATGACTCGCTGCCTGGCTTCCTGATTGGTCAGGAATCCAGCTTCATGCTCCCTCATCACCTCATGACGAGGAAGCGTGGAGCCGGCTTCCCGGCCAATCAGGAAGCCGGGCACCGTGTCATTACGCGGCAGCCGGCTTCCTGATTGGCCAGAAAGCCAGATCTATGCTTTCTCATCACTTAGTGACGAGAAGCATGGGGACAGCTTCCCTGCTAATCGGGAAGCCGGGTGGTGAGTCTTTACACACTGCCCGGCTTCCCGGCTAATCAGGAAGCCAGGTGGCGAGTCATTACACACCGCCTGGCTTCCTTAATGGGACTTCCGGTATCGGTATTCGGTATCGACGAGTACCAGGAAAAAATATACTGGATACCAAAATACCGGTATCGGTGCATCCCTACCAATAGTCCAAAAGTGCAAGCATTCCAAAAGTACGTCTTGTTTGCACATTGTTTGCACTTTGCCTTTTGGACATTATATTTTATTTTTTTGCACATATATTTATTTGTACTATGTGTGATGCTAAATACGTTATTGAATTTTTGAGTTTTTTAAGGTTAAATATATATTTATTTATGTTTTAGTGCTGTATGTTTTTGATAGTTTATTTTATATCCTTGGGATATCTATACAGCAGTTTTATTAGGGTAGAAGAATATTGAGCACAATCTCTTGTTTAGATACATTTGTGGCTTGTAGTGTTACATTTCAGTTAGATCTAACTCATGATGACTTACTTCCTTTTGATGCTGTGGTGATATAAAACAACAATCTGATTTTGATGTGAAACTGCTTATCAGCATGTATTCTAGATGGTGATAGAGTTGCCTTTAAATACTACAATTGTACTGGTAACTTGTGTAGCACAGAAGTGAAGACACCAGGTAAAACACACTTTACTCTATTTATTATAACTATATAGAGGTCACAGCTTCTCTGAATATATCTATGATCTGTATTGTGCTGGAGATGCTTCAATATTTCTACAAATTAAATATGTGAACATGCCATCCAGTACTTATCTTAGTTTCGGCAGTGTTCCTTGTTAAGGTTTATGTGTGCACGTTTTCTGAATGCATAATTCAAAATTATGGTGTTAAACTTTGTACTTAGATTTGCATTTGTGTTTAGATCCAGGTTTGCATAGATTTGAGCTTAGCAACGATGGTGAAGTCCTAGATTACTGACCATATTGAAAATCTTAATGTTCAATCCACAAAGTTTATTTATTTTTAAAGATATATTATATTTTTATATTTTATTTATTTTATCATCTCACAAAAATCTTAACGTTCTTAAAAACTAAAATGCTTATTAGAAACATGAATAAAATTATAATCAACAGAAATCATTGAACAATATGGTCTGTTTGTTCCTCAGTCACAATGCTTCCAGCCATGGGGACCAAACCTTATTGAATTTTTGCAAATTTGCAAAGACAACCACCAGCTTCATAAAACAGTTTGTAAAAGGGGAGTGCTTGGGTAACCAGCTGTTTCCATAGGCTGTAATCCACTACGTTTAGGTAGAATTGCTGAGAACTCAAAAGGTTATGAGCTCACATAAGGTGCAATGCATTCATAAAATTTGTATGAGAAACATTGTGGCTGATTTACTAGAATAGAGTATGTTCACTTTGCAAAGGATATGCAAGAAAAATTAAAACGCAGGATTTTTTATTACACATGATTGGATGATAGAAGTCAGCGCAGCTTCACCTCATTGAAAGTGAAATTTACTGGCAAAGTGAAAATTCAAAGTATTTCAAAGTATTGAAAATTCTAAATATTAAAGTGATATCAAACTCAGGAGTTTAATCTTAAAGATACATTCAAGTACCTCAAACGTTTAACAAAAATGTATCTTATTTGTGTATCGCCCAGCTGTAGATCCTCAAATCATCTCTGAATTCATGGGGCACAAGTAGCCACCCCCCGGAAGGAAGAACAGTGTCATCATGAATTCAGAGATGATTTGAGGATCTACAGCCGAGTGATACACAAATAAGATACATTTTTGGTAATAATTAAGGTACTTGAATGCATTTTTAAGATCTAACACCTGAGTTTAGTGTCACTTTAACCCCTTCCCAACCGATGATGGAACTATGACTATGTCATAATTTTTTGGTGGCGGGACCAGCGCACATGGGGTTCATGCTGTTGCTGGGTGCCTCTGTGCCAAGGCAGAACTTCAACAGCAAATCAGGGGGTCCCAGCACTGTGATCACTTCAATAGCTAATCTCAGTGGTCACAGTGCTGTTACAGCCACTGATCCGGTTTACAGTTCACTGTGTTGTGAAGCTGCAATCTGGATGAGTGTGGAACAAAAGTGATACAAAGTATCTTTAAGGAGAATACAGTGTCGCCTCAGAATACTAAGGGGGTTATTCACTAAGCCCGCCGAAGTCAGCAATGTCCACGACGCTGCCAACTCATCGGTATTTTTTTTTTAAACGACGCCTGCCGACCCGCCCATTTGTTGTCATACAATGACAGGTTAGAGTCCCCCCCTTTCCTGCCCTGCCAGGCCTGTGCTCGGATTAAGGGTCTGATTGGGAATTGTAGGGGGGGACCCCACATTTTTTCCCCTTAAAATTCCTAACAGACCTAAAGGGCCTGGTATGACTATTCCCCTTAAAATTCCTAACAGACCTAAAGGGCCTGGTATGACTTTTGGGGGAAACCCCACGCATTTTTTTTTAGTTTTTATCTTGGGGTCCCTCCTAACTTTCCTACCAGACCTAAAGGCTTCGGTATGAATGGGAAGGGGGACCGCACGCTGTTTTTAAAAAAAACTCACCGCTACAGCTCTGACTTCGGCTCAGCCGAACTGAAGCATATGCGTTCAGCTTGGCTGAGCTGTTTGGCTGCCTTCGGCTGCTGTACGGGCCATTGTGAATAGCCCGTACAGCAGCCCTTCAGTTCTGCTGAAAAATGCATTCAAGTACCCGAAGTGAGCCAAAGAATTAGCTGAAGCTACGGCTATATCCTTCGGCTCCTTTGTGAATAACTCCCTTAGTATCAAAAGCCTCGGTAAATAAAAAAAAATAAGCCTTTAGTGCCCCCTAGTTTAAAAAAAAAAAAAAAAAGTTTTAAATAGTTTTTTTAAGTTTTTCAAATGTTAAAAAAAAATTAAAAGTTAAAAAATATATATGTTTAATAAAAAAAGATAAGAAAATACAGTGCAGAGGAGGCTATTATAGTTAGGAGACAAACATATCGCATTCTAAAATTGTTCTCACACTAAAATTGTATTTCATTCCTTGTATTTTGTGACCTGTAACTCCCAAAATAAACTGAAATCCCAGACATATGATATACCCTATAACTCAGGAGAAATAAAATATTTACTTTCTGTTAGCTACACTAATTATGTACACATTATTATTGCCAAAGCTGTGAAAATGTGTTTTGTTTTTTTTCCAATTTAAAACATTTGTTTGTATATAAAAAAAAAAGAATTTATATTTGCAAATGTCACATGATATTAAAGCATATTTTGTCCTTTAAAAAACAGCATATAATATGTTTAGGTGCAATGAATGAGGAAAAAGGATATTATGGTTAAACAAACACATAGCACAAAGGGTAAAGTTGCTCCGGTCCCAAGGAACTAAATACATTTCCGAAGCTGTATCACTAAAGGGTTAAAGTTTATGTAAACCCAAATACTAAAGTTATGTAAAGAGATTTTTTTTTAAACTTTCCTAGTAAATTAAGTCATACATGATTTGTATCCTGTAAATAAATGGTTTAATAAAAGACCTGTTGATCCTGCCAGGTCCTGCTTTCACTCTGATGCCTTCTATAATAGGGTGACCACTAGCTCCCAGTTCTGCAGTATTGTGGTGACCCTGTGTTTTTTTCCAAACTGCTACAGTCAATACCCCCTGCTGGTTTACTGACAGCTGCTCTGACTACTTAGAAACTGAGACTGGAACTTCTTGTAACTGTAAATGCCATCTTGACATGACCGTTTGGCCTGTAACAATAAGTGGACAATAACAGATCTGTTGGCAGGATAAACAGGTAATAAAACCATGTTACCTAAGCACGCTGTGTTAATGCTATTGACAGACTGTATCATATATACTTTCTATATTTTACCTGTAGTTACACTTTTATTATATAAATAGAAATATAAAAAGATTGCAATGTTGGCCCCACAGGTTGTAATCTGATTTACAAATTATTTTAGGAATACAAACACACAGTGAACACATTAAAAACAATCTCAACAGTTGTAAACAGAGTAATTAAGTCATTACCCTGTGCCATCTAGAGCTCACTGTTGTGGCTAATCTACAAAGATGAGAATAAAGGAAACAAAGTCTAAAAATGAAAACCAATGCAGCCAACATATTTAAGGGTTGGAAAGCTGAAATAGATTACATTTTTGTGTTTGGGTTTAGATCGTCTTTATTGCAATAGCAATAATATGGAAGAGTGAGCTTTTAAAATGTTTTTGATATAGAATTTGACTTTAAGGTGCACACTGAAATAATAAGTCAAAGTGTGTGCCCATTGATAAGACACTATACTTTCTCTTTAAAGGAGAACTATGCGGTGAGTGCTTTTCAGCTGACCTGTGACAAGGAGACTCTCTCAGGTCGGCTCAGTAGATCGGGAAGTGAGCATACCTGCGTTCGCTCACTTCACGATCCTGTCACGGCTCTCTGCCGTGACAGGGGAGGGGCTGGATTCCCCCCTCCCCGCTCCGATCCTCCAGCGCTGACTGGTGGAAGGGACGGGGGAGGGGGCGGGTACAGCTGGCTCTGCCTCTAGATAGGCAGAGCCAGCTGACACTCACGTAGCTGGGCGGATCCAGACATAATTGTCAGATCCGCTTCAGTTGCAGCGTCTCAGTATGCCGTGTGCTGTAGCTCGCAGTATACTGAGCTTAGGGTGACGGGAAGATGCTAGTTTGTGTCCTCCCTTTACCCTAAGGAGAACTATGGGGAAAAGCCTTAACCCCATAGTTCTCCTTTAAGCTGTTTATCCAACACTGATCAAGAACTGTTTTTAATTCACACAGTTGCCTTTCCTGGGTGGAATCTACTGTGCACTGCAAAAAGGCAACCAGTTTAACCGATTATTTTCATACGTTTCACAAAATGTACACAAACATGTAAAGTTTGGCACAAAAAAACAGTTTCCATTAAAAAGAACTCCAGGCAAATAAAATCTTCTGCACTACGAGGGTTAAGTGCTGGTTTTGCCTAGAGAGCTAAAATAATGGAGATATACTCACCCGAACCATGATCCCGGCTTGCTCTTACAGAGGTCCTCTCCAGCAGTCTAAGGTCCTGTGAGTTATCACTTCTTATACAGTGTATAGGACATGAGGATACCAAGGGACATTTGGATGAGCATAACTTTGTTATTTTAGCTCCCCAGACAAAATGAGCATTTAACCCTTGCAGTGTGGGGGTAGCCCCACTGCAAGGGTTAAGATTTTATTTGCCTGGAGTTCTTCTTTAATACAGTTTACTGAGGATTTGTTGTGAGTGAGTAGACATGAGAGGTCATGATGTCTATACAGGAGCAAAGTTATACCCTCTTTCCAGAATTAGATTTAAACCTTTCACTTCCTGCAGGATGAAGACTTTACTTGTTTTAGCAGCAATTATTCTTGCAGCTTCTGCTGCAAATTTTCTTGATGAAGAATGGAACATCTGGAAATTGAACTATGGTAGGTGAAAGTAATTTCAGTTTTACTGCAAAGATTATTGTTTAGAAAGAATAAACATTATACATCAATTACAACTTTCATAGAATATTATTTTGTTATGCAGAGTTGCAGACAGAAGCGTAACTAGGAACTTCAGGGCCCAGGTGCAAGAAGCCATGTAGGGCCCCCCCCAACCCCGCGCTGCGGAGCATTGGCCTGCTGGGAGCTGTAGTCCCAGGAGGCAATGTCGGTGCCTCTGCGGTTACTGGGCTGGGCCCTCTTCTTCCTTTCCAGGCCCCTGGGGGTATAACAATGAAGGCATGCTGGGACTTATAGTTCAACTACAACAAGCATGCCTTCATTGTCCCTGCACACCTCTCCACATCAACCAGGGAACTACAAGTCCCATCATGCCCTCATTGTCCTTGTACACCACCACATATAAATCACCCAGGGAACTACAAGTTCCAGCATGCAAGCCCCCTGCAGTAGTTCATTGGGTGATATGTGAGAGGTGTAAAGGGACAGTGAGTGCATGCTGGGACTTGTAGTCCCGTGTATGATAGAAGGCTGTTTTAATTAATTCCTCATGAAAATACTAGTAATACAAAGGCATTATAGTACAGTAATTATTAAGTTCAACTATGTTCTATTCTATGTTTCTATAATGACATTGTGTTACTAGTACTTTCATGAGGACAGTAATTAAAACAGCCTTCTATCATACAAGGAACTACAAGACCCAGCTGAACTGCTGACTTGCAGTTTTCTAGTAATACAATGTCATTATAGAACATGGAATAGAATATAGTCAGTTCCAAATTCAGCCATGTTCTGTTCCATGTTCTATAATAAAAAGCACCGCCCTCACATGTCACCTGTAAAAAAAAAAAAATCCGCTTCACTGCTGGCGACCGACTCAACCCCCTCCCGCTCGTCCATCTACCTTTGCGCTCGGAGGAGCCACTTCATCGGGCCCCCCGCTTGTTACTCCACTGCCGCGGTCGGGGCCTGTTCTTCAATCCTGGGCCCCACGCCAAGTGGCGGAACGACAGGGCCCAGTCACGCCGGCGACCGATGCGACCCTGGTAGTTCCGCCACTGTATGCAGATATACCTAAAGTCATATAGAGGGTGAGGACACAGAACAGGAATGCTGAATTTCATAACATTATATTGAGACCAAGGACAGAATAAGGAGCCACAGTTTGCAGTGCTGAAATGACAATGCTTGCATCACAAAAGTAACAGTTTGGAAGTTTCTTCCAAGATGGGTAGCAATGAGCAGATCTAGATAAAATGTTTAGGCTGGGGTGTACGTTTATTTAATGGAGATAATTATTATCGCAGCTTATCTCCTCAGTGCAGCAGTTTATGTAGCTGCAATGAGGAGCAGAGATCAGCTTCTCCGCTTCCCATCATAGCACACTAAGAAGCGCCCAGTTAGTTGTATACAAATGGCCAGTTTAATATGGTGTGATGAAAGCACCTAAATGGCTGTTTGTGCAAATTATCTCTATCCCTGCTTCACTAGCCCAGAGGTTGTCATAGCACGAAGAGAAGAAAAGATGTAAACAGGAAGTATAAGAATTTCTCCTTTACTTCCTCGCTCACCTGAAAATGCTTCTCTTGCGGTCGTCAGGGAGCTGCTATCTAATAGAGGGAGACTCCCTGAACATCAGGGAGACTTGAGATCCCTGCCTCACCAGCTTCACCTTCACAACACTAGCCAGCTTACAAAGAACACAGTGGCTTTGTGTTTAGTTATTCTGCCTTGCAGCAATGGGGTCCCCATCAAATCCTTCCCAGAACACTATCTGCATGGAGTCTGCATTTCTCCCTGTGCTTGTGTGGGATTCCACTAGGTACTTCGGTTTCCTCCCACACTCCAGAAACATGCTGGTAGGATAATTGGCTCATGTCTAAATCGGTCAGCGTGTGTGCATGCATATGAGGCATGGACCTTAGATTATAAGCCATTTGAGGGTAGGGATTGCTGTGTAAATTGCTGGCATTACATAAATACTTATAATAAAAATATACAGACAGGTCCATCCCAAAAAATCCCTATGGCCCCTTGTGTTTTTATTTACATAAAGACATTTCTGTGATACTTGTACCCCAGTGGATTTATATAGCCACATATATACTCGGGTACAAGCTTCACAGAAATGTCTTGATATCAGTAAAAACACAAGTATTCATGCACCGACCGTCTACAACCAATGCATGTTTCATTAACCTCAATATTTTGTTTAATTGTTATTTTTACTGCCTTTATATTTTGATTTTCAATGGAGTATTAAGAATCACAAAAATCACACTAGATCATGGGCACAAATCTCTACTCTCACACATCTGGGCTCTTCATCTCTTCACAGTCTGAGAAGAGAGGTACACTTGTTAATAAACATGCATCCCCCTCTCCCCATGAGAGCTTTAAATGCAGTGAAGAGCTGTGATGTGTAAATGCGGGCCAGATCTCGCTCTATTATGGACATCTTGATTGCTATATTGCCTTTACAAACTGTAATAGCAGAACCAGGAGTGCCCTAGACATTTTCCCTTCTGAGGCAGCAGGTTGGCAGGGGGGAAGCTGGTGGAGCACGCTAAGAGTGTGGTGGGGTGTGGCCTCTGCATCATCCCCTTGCCCAGCTCTGGCTCGGGCTACGGGCACCGTCCCGCCCAGCTCCTGGCAACCAGTGATGTCACTGGTTGCCAGAAACTGAGCAGGACGCCGGCCAGTGTGTCCCAGGTTGCTAAGAACTGGGGGAGGGGAGATGTGTATGCCCTTGCATATGTCCCCGTCTGCCTCTTAGCAACCTTGGACGCTCTGGCCAGAAAGGGGACAGCAGGCACACTTCAAACATTGTGCAACAGAGCAGCCATGGTTTATTCTGTCTAACTCATGTCTTCCCCCCACGTGACCCAAAGAGATGCCATCTGAGGCAACAGCATTAGGCTGTCTTATTAAAGGCCCCTGAGCAGAACTATGGTCAGTCAGGAAGACAGGCTGCAGGTCAATAACTGCAGGAGCATGCAGGAACATACAGGTCAACAGAATGTAAGGGGATCAAGTGGGAAGTAGAAATAAAGAAAGTACCTTAGGGCATGGCAGAATCCATCACCAAAAGTGCAAAGCAGAACAAAATAGTAATAAAGAAAAAAGAAATATATGTAAATATTTTATATATACAATATGCATAGACTATTTCAATAGGAACAACTACTGTGATGACATAGGATAGTCTGATCCATTAGCTTCATCAAAGTAAATTTAATTGCCCATTTGGTCCCACATTTCACAGTAGTACTGAATATGGTGAGGCTGATTTAATAAATGAGCTGAAAATCTTCACTCAGTAAATTGTGTGAATATTTACTTCCATTATTCATGAATGGCAAAAGCAAATTTCTGTTCACTCTGGATACCCAATCATGTGCACATGAAATAAACAAGAATTGGCTTGTTGCATGATCGGATAGTTGAATTGAATCATCTTCCTTATCTATGAACTAAACAGATTCATATATTTTATTTACATTATAGCAATAAACAGAGAAATGATTAAAGCCTCTGGCCCTGGGATATAAAAGTAAACCCCCTTATGTATTATGTAAAGAAAGGAAAACATGATTTGGTCATATTTGTAAGCCTTTTAAATTCAAGTAGAAAAGAATGAAGAGAAAAAGTGATGACGAGAGGGAAAGATGATTCTGCTTTATGGTTGGGCCCAATAACCTCCTCTACCAATTAATTCCTCTGCTCAGCCTGTAAATATGTCATAACACTTTCTACAGCAGGGAATTACAGGTGACATTAGTACCAGTTGAGAGTAAAACTGAATGTCATAGACACCCTATAAATTGGATCTCACACAGTATGTGTTCATTGTTTCATTCTACAGAAAAGAAATACATTAACAGTAAGGAAGAAGGTATTCGAAGAAGAATTTGGGAGGAAACCTGGGAGAAAGTACAAAAGCACAATAGCTTGGTTGAGAACGGATTGAAGAATTATACCTTGGCTATGAATATGTTTGCTGACATGGTGAGTCAAAATGTTCAAGGGACTATTTGCATTGGTAAAAGAGCCTACTTGCTTTTGTTGGAGAGAAACACATACTGTACAGTATATAAAATAAAGCGAAACAAAACCACAGCGGGGAAGGTGGAATTTTTTTAAACTGGAACAGACAGAATCTGGAGTAGTTGCCCATAGTAACCAATCAGCTTCTCTCTTCAGTTTGTTCAGTTAGGCTTTGAAAATAAAAGACAGAAGCTGATTGATTGCCATGGGCAACTAATCCAGATGCTGTCTGGTCCAGTTTTGATAAATGATTCTCTTTGTCATTGATTTATTACAGGAGTAGAGGCAGTTCACTTAGGAAAGTAAGGGGTCTATTCACTAAGCTGCCGAAGAATCTAGCCATAGCTTCAGCTGATCCTTCGACTAGCTTTGGCCCCAGGACCCTTCTACTGAACCGAAGGGCTGCTGTACGGGCTATTCACGATACCCCGTACAGCTCCCGAAGTTGGCCAAGTGGCTCAGTCGAGCCGAAGGCATATGCCTCGGCTCGTCTGAGCCAAGGTGAAAGCCAAAGCTGGCCAAATGGCCAGCCACTGGCCGACAGCCTGCTACTGACCTGCTTCTCATGGCTGGCTCCGGCCACTTGCAGAGACAGATCAGCGTCCCTGGTTACTATGTAACCAGGGACACTGATCTCCAGACAGCCCAACTCTCCTGGACGCTCCGGGAGTCTCCCGCTATTAGATAGCGGCTCCCGGCCGCCCCGGAGAGAAACACTTTCTCTTTGATCGAGCAGATTCCTATTGGCTATTTCAATTTGCAATAGCCAATAGCAAACTAGCTATTGCACCCGCCCACTGCTGCTGTCAATCAGCAGAGGGGGACCTGCAGTTCTCCATCAGGTCCCCTTCTGGTGATTGACAGCAGCAGAGGGCGGGTGCAATAGCTAGTTTGCTATTGGCTTTTGCAAAGTGAAATAGCCAATAGGAATGTAGCTACAGTATGTATTCCTATGGTGATTTTGTTTTTTTTATTCTGACAGCAGCCAACGGCTCCGATGTCAGAAGAAAAAAAAAATACAGAGCAGGGAAAGGTTTACTCTGCTCGATCAAAGAGAAAGTGTTTCTCTCCGTGGCGGCCGGGAGCCGCTATCTTAGGCCCCGTTCACATTGAGCGATTTATCGCGCGATTTTTGCAGCGATATCGCTCATATTTCCGCGCTATATCGCTCTATGTAGCTTCACCAATACATTTCAATGTAGCTGTTCACATCTCGTCGCTCAATGTCGCTCAATATCGCTCAATATCGCTTGTAGCTCGTCGCTGGTAGCTTGTCGCTTCTACATGACCCTTTTTTAGAGCGATTTTGAGCGATATTGCTCCTGATTGCATACAGCCCAATAGGAAGATGTCGCGCGATACGTCGCTCAATGTCGCTCGTCGCTCAATGTCGCTCAAAGTCGCGCGATTTCCATGTCGCTCAGTGTGAATGGGGTCTAATAGCGGGAGACTCCCGAAGCGTCCAGGAGAGTTGGGCTGTTTTTTTACTGTTTTTTTTTTTCTGACGGCAGCAGAACCGCCCGGCCAGTTGAGCTAACTGTCACTGCTAGCTCCACCCAATCGTTTTCTATTTTATTTTTTTACTTTTTTAACTGTTTTTCTATTCTGCTCAGTACCACAGAATAGCCGTGCCGAATGCTGCTCGGCGGCATTCGGCTATTCACTCACTGCTGTTTGGCATTTATGAGAAGAGGCCGAACAGCAGCGAGTAGCCTGCCGGAGTTTCAGCTCAGCCGATCCAGATGTTAGATCGACTGAGTCAAACTCCTTCTGCACTTCGGGTCGGCTGAACATGCTGAGCATTTTTGGCCAACCCGAAGCCAGCCGCAGCAAGCCGATGTACAGCTGATTTTAGTCGGTGTACGGCTGAAATCAGCCGTACAAGCCTGAGGTGAATAGCCGAACAGCGTTCGGCTCACTTTACTTCGGGTCGGTTATTCACTCGGCTGCCTACGGCAGCTTTGTGAATTGACACCTTAAAAAAACTGCTTTTTCAGGAGTTTACTAAAGGCATTGATTTAATGTCTGTCTCAAACAGGAGTCAATTCTCCAGGAATGCCTGCTAAAACCTGGCAGGTAAACTCAGGCCAACACAGGAGGTCCACCACATGTTAAATCCTCAAAATAACCTCTTAGCGATCACCAATATAGAGTTCCTATTATATATCCCACATTGTGTGAAACAGGTAGTTAGGAAATCTTAGCCATTGGTGGTGTAGTGAATAGGGTGGAGAGAGAGCCCGCCTCCTCTTCCATTGGTAACCGTGGTGGGATACAATGGAATAAAAATAAATGGCTATATTTTCTACCAATATTTTCTGTTATTCTCAATATACCATTTAGTTATACTACTCCTAAAATGATTTTTTTTGTTAATCACAGCTTCCATATTCTATAATCATATCTGAATGTATATTGATTTATATATTGTTACAGACTGTTCGAGAACTGATACAAAAAACACCATGTAATTCAAAGAATCAGCCAAAACCAGATACAAAACCAGCATCTACTTCAAATTATACTTGGAATCAAAAGGAAAACAAAGGAGATGTGGTGGACTGGAGAGCATCAGGATGTGTCACCCCTGTAAAAAATGCAGGACTCTTTTGCCGAGCATGGTGGGCTTTTGGCATGGTAAGGGCTTGACATTGGCTTTATTTCACAGCAGAACTGCTCCTTGGAGCTTAGGAGCTGCTTGCTGTAAATGGTAACAATAAATATTCACACAAAAATGAAGCTATTTAAAAAAAAAAATTTTTTTTCGTTCTGAACATAATAATAAAACATGAAAAAAACAATATACAACGTGTATATTAACAATTAACATGTTGGTTTACTCTTGCAGGATAGCACAAACATTGTAATGCAGACTATTGGGTATTACATAAATTATTCCCTATTTTATGTTAATATTTCTCTTACCATTAATAATAATATTATTAATAATAATAATAATAGCAATAATAACAAAACTGTTTTACACTGAAAATTCCCAGGCATGCAAAAATGATCAAAGAAAACCTTTAATCACTGTTAAATTTCATTTAAATTCTACTTGTCCATGAATGGGTAATAAACAGGCTGCACATACAGGCTTATTCAGTAAGCGAATACATATGGCAGTAAGGCCCATTTCACACCAGGGCATATCATGAATGCGTGTCAAACATGCACAAATGTGCATGCTTTGACTTGCGATTACGATGTGTTCACAAACGCAGAACAAGCTTGTGGCACCCCATATGCAGCTGAGGAAACGCGTTCTTTCCTTGCGTGTTCGCACGCACAAGCGAGTGAGAAACAACACGGAACACATGTCGCCAAATTTGAGACATGTACTACTGTTTCATATTTTCCATGGGTCCAGGGACTCAATGGGTATCAATGGGGATCAATGCGGACACGCTCCAAAATCGTGGAACAAAGTCCCGTGAACGGGGCCTTATGGTGTACAAAGTGCAGTAATAGAAAGCAATCAGTTTAGTAAAGCGAGACTGGTAATAAGAGTTTTCTTTAGCCCTTGGCGCTAATGGCTGCCAGCTGGACAATCCACTTGCTGTTGCTCACTCAAAGTTTATCACAGTTTTTTTACACAGACTTGAGGGGCTGCTCATCCAAGGCTCTGGGGCTTCCACCACGAACATAGAAAACAAAAGGGAACAGAGCGCCACCTACATGGATACATGGTATCCCCCCGACTATGTAACACGGTAGTATCCGGTCACATCACCTACCGTGTTACATAGTCGGGGGGATACCATGTTGGGTCAACAGACAGTGTGGCCTCTCGTTTGTTGTTAAAGCCTGATGAAAACGTTTGTTTGTGAGTACTTTTATCCCTTGTTTTATTTATTGTAATAAACGATTTTACACACGGAGGTGGCGCTCTGTTCCCTTTTGGTAATAAGAGTTGTTATGGGTTACAGCATTGTCTATTGTCCCTTACTAAATAAACCTGAAAAATAAAGAAGCAACTTTGCAGCTGTCTACTGTGAAGGCGTTTATCATGCGAAGACCAATGTTATCCGACACGACATGATCCAGCCCCATCTCATTGTTATATTTTGATTTGTCTTTATAGGTGGGTGTCCTAGAATCACGTCACTGTATCAAAAACACGCGATTATTTAAATTCAGTGAGCAACAACTGATAGACTGCAATAGCGACAATGATGGCTGCTGTGGAGGAACATTTCAATCGAATTTTAAATATATTAGAGAAAATGGGATGATGACAAGCAAAAGCTATGCATACAACGCAGGGGTAAAGTATTTTTCTCTTTCATGCACTTTTTCATTAACATTAAGAATTGATGGATGTTTAATACAATCTATTCACACACAAAAAAAAATTTCAATTACTAAAACATCAAAACTTTTGGGGCTCAATCACACTTTTGAGCTGTGGCAACATGTGCTAAAACATGCATATTACTCCAATGAACAGAAAGTCACCAGCTCAGTGTGCCATGCATTGTGGTTCCATTCATTGTAAATGTCACCCCAGTGCGCCATGAAGTACAGCACAATGCACAATACACTGCAGTGCTACACAACATACATACCATGCGCTGTGGTGATCTGCATTGCAAAAAAAAAAGTGTCATGCGCCTTTTTTTTGGCCCGTTGCATTATGCATTATGAATGGGCTGCCTTATCGCACACATTTTAACACCTGACCTAAAGCACATTAGTGCATATATGTTAAGCAGAACTCTGGGGAAAGTTATTATTAACCCTTGCAGTTGGTCTAGGGTGGAACATAACAAAGATTAGCTCACCAGATCCTCAGAGCTGGCCGGTTGTCCGTTGATGTTTACCAAAGAACTTTGCAGTTTTTTTGTATAGCAGCTTTCAAACCGATTGGGGTGATTTTATATCCATAACCGCAGATTTATACTATTACGGTTATCCGTCCAGCCTGTCTCCTGTTCTTCTGCAGCAAAGGTATGCCCCTTAAAGCCCTCACTTCCTACCGACTGTGTATATAACATGGTGATTTATGGGATCTTAGACCACTGCAGCGGAAAAGGAGAGAGGCTCCATGGACTAGTCTAAAGGTGCCCATACACTTTACAACCCTCGCAAGACTTTTGTTTTGCGAGGGTTGTAAAGTAGTTTAAAAATTTACGATCTGCCCATCTTAGACAGGCAGATTGTACCTGCGATCATCGTACGATTCTCGGCTGGTTTTCCAACATGCTCGATATACAAAAGTCGTGCGACTGTACATTAGAAAACGGTCGCACGCCTTCCATACACTGCACGATTATCGTACGATCGTGGGATTTCCCGCGATTCTCGTACAAGAATCGTGCAGTGTATAGGCACCTTTATAGAAAGCCAGCTCAGGGTATTAGGTGAGTATAACTGGGTTATTCTAAGCCCCAGACCAAAATGAGCACTTAACCCTTGCAGTGTGGGGGAACTTTCCTTTCCTGACATGCTCCATGGCAGCATATGAATTAGTTAGGCCCCGCCTCCTCAACCCTGATAGGACCATTAACTTATAAATGTGATACCCTAAATCATCATGGTGTTCCTTGCTTTTCCTCCTCAAATAGGATGTGTTCTTCATTTTTAAACACAAATAGACAAAGAGGGAATTACTTTTCTACCGAACTCCACATAACTATAGCGGCCGGTTCAACACAAAGATGTAAATAAAAGTGTGAATGGAGGACCTGGCCTTACATATGCTTTCTGGGGACACCCCGGAGAGCTGGAGATGCTACATGTAGAATACGCTGTCACTCTATCTGGGACAGCCAACCCCTTAGCACAGTAAGCCAGCGTTAACACTCTCACCGTCCAGGAGAACCGCCGCGCCACAGACACTCCGCTCCCCACATAAATGCTGTGATGTAGCAGCAAAAATAGACTCCATGCCCCAAGGACCAGCAGCAGGAGCTTCCCCACACCATTTCTGTTAGGAAAGATTCAGAGGGAACATCACCACATTAATGGACTGCCAGAGAATTACTCCAGAAAGGTAAGTAAACCTGCAAAATACGAGGAGGAAACGCAAGGAACACCATGATGGTGTGGGGTCTCAAATTTATGAGTTAGTGGTCCTATCAGGGTTGAGGAGATGGGTCCCAACCCATTTGTATGCTTGCATGGAGCTGTCAGGAAATGTAATTTAAATCTATAATAATCACTTCCTTATAAAACGCCCCTTGGATGTGATTTTTTACCTTCAGTATAGAGTAGAAACCACACCCATTACCTATAAGGAACAAGTATTATTATCAGCCATTTTAATTACCCTTTTTTTCACACTGTCAATCCCAAACTGTGTCATATAGGCCGGTATACAGTGCTAAATATCTGATTTTTCCATTCAGAAATTTGAATGTAAATACAAACCCAAGAAATCGGTAAAAGTAAAGGTCTCTAAATTCTACACCCTCACAGAAGAAGAAAGTATTACTAATGCAGTGGCAGAGGATGGGCCAGTTTCAGTGACTTTGGATGTAACTCAAGAATTTTTCTTGTATAATGGAGGTAATTTGACATATACAGCATTTGCTTTATATAGTTAGTTTAGCATTATGTATACTTTATGTAATAGTCTGAAAGTATATTTTTTTGGATGTATAAACATTATTTAAACATTATTATTAGTTGTTTTAATAACATTTCTAAGAAGTTTGGAAGTCCTCTCTTATTATAGTGACCACTATGTAGAGCATCATACAGCATCTCATATCTACTGTACCTGGTTTAATCAGCATCAAAGCTATCTGCAGAAATCAACATCATTTTTTCATACAAGACTACTTTTAGAATATGAAATGGATTCCATCCTAGGTGTCCTACTGCTAGTGTTAGGAGGTATCAGCCAGTTACTGGTCATTACTACAACGAAGAATGAATGGATGTAATGCAGCCTAAAGGCACAATCCAGGTGTAATGATCATTTACACACTGCACTGGGTATGTAATTATCATTAAAAGGTTGTTGTGTTAAGTGCAAAGGGCAGCTGCAAAGTAGAAAGATCTTACCTTCAGCATGCTGTTCTCCTAAACAGAATGTCCAGCTTCTGGGCACTGAAGAGATGGAGCAATGCACCCTGAGCTGTACAGTTGTACAGTGGTCGCATCACCTGCCTTTTTTCACTATCCTCCATTTGTAAAATGTTTTGTATACAAGACATTCTGTGATTGGAGCAGGAGAGGATTGGGTGGGGATATAACATCATCTCTTCTCCTCTAATCACAGAATATCTTGTATTCTTTAAAAAAAATACAAGATATTTTCTGAATGGAGGATAGTGAAGAAGGGCGGATGATGCGACCAGAGAGTCATACAGCTTGGGATGCATTGCTGTTGCTTATTTGTCACATGGGAAAAGTGGGAACAAAATTAAAAAAGGAGGTGTATCACACCATCAGGGGACAAGCAGAATATCCTGGTGAAAAATGTACTGTATGTCTCAGATCTAGAAGGAAGCCTTCTATCAGTGAAAAAGTGAAAATCCTTGCTAATAATGGTCTTACAGTTCAAAGAGTCATAGAGCTTGGGATGCATTGCTGTTGCTTATTTGACACATGAGGAACGTGGGCACAAAATTAAAAGGAGGTGCATCACACCGTCAGGGGACAAGCAGAATATCTTCGTGAAAAATTTACTGTATGTCCCAGATCTAGAAGGCAGCCTTCTATCAGTGAAAACCCTTGCTAATAACAAAGGGAATACCACCCTGCAAGCTGTCATATACCGCTAAGACACATCGCATACTCAAACCATCATCGTGGGAAGACATAACAAATATTACCAAAAGGTGAAGCCAATCAATGGAGAAAGGCAGCAGAAGAAGAAATAAAATCACTCCACTCCAAGAAAATAAAACGGAGCTTCCCTAGATAGCGGAACTATCTAGGGTTGAAATTAAAGAACTAGGAAACATCAGTCACTATTTGGGAATTCAAATAGAGAGAGAAGAAGATGGAAGCTATCTTCTCAACCAAAGTCAGAAAATTGTAGAAATTTGGAAACAATTCCACATGCAAGATGCAAAGGAAGTAAAAACAAATATGGAACCAGGCTACTAAAAGAGCAATGAAGCAGAAAACGTGCTACACAACAATGACATGTACCGCAGAGCAATCAGAAAGCTACTATACATTGCCACTGTGACAAGACCAGACATAGCGGCAGCAGTGGGCATACTAACTAGAAAAGTTGCAGCACCCTGTCAGCATGACTGGAACGCAATAAAAAGGGTAATACAGTACTTAAAAGGAACAATTCGGAGGAAGCTACAACTGCCAGCAGCATCAAAGCCAAAACTAGTTGGATATGCGGATGCTGATTTGGCTGGAGACTGCACAGACCGCAAATCCACAAGTTGTTACATCTTCCTATACGGAGAAGGAATCTTTGAGGATAACCAGGGATGTATAAAGCTAACAAAATCAGAAAGGGTCAACCCTAGAACCAAGCACATCGACATGAAGTATCATTTGCTAAGGGACACTCAAGAGCAAGCTATTATCAACATACATTATTGCTCATCAGAAGAAATGACATCGCATACACTCACCAAGCCATTGCCAAAGGATCGTCACAGTTTCCTTCGAGAAAAGCTAAATGTCATATAGCAACGCATATGCTGTTGAGAAGGAGTGTTGGAAATACAGCAGCATATACTGACATGTACTGATTGTATTACTAACTGCAACATGTCTTTTGAGCTGTAGATGGCAGTATACTGCAATGTTAGTATCTAGTGCTTGCTCATCTATGATACACATGTATATATGTTTCCTAATATAACATTCTTATAACATTCTTCTAAGCAAGTAAAACTTAGCATTCCTCAAGAACTTAGTGCTTCATCTAATTGCATAACCAATAGAAGTCACACTGTCTCATCAAGGCCCTTCTATGTAATGTGGTCCTAACTCTAATCTATGAGAGACTCCATGTTTGAGTATATGTAGCAATGAATAAATTGAGGGCATGTATGCCTAGAGGTAGCCCGTTCCTCCTTAAAGGTACAGCACAATGGTAGCTGAAGACCCCCAGTGTGCCCCACACCAATTTCCATAAGATAAACTAATTGCAACCACACTAATAAATTATAATCACCAACAACAATTATAATCAATTTTTAATTAGCTTTTCAAAGTAAAGCGCATTCTGTAATAAGACTACTGCTTTCCTGTAGAGACTAGGGTTCCCACTCTGCCGCTGCTGGCAGGGGACAGGCTTTTCCACTAAATCTGTGTCTGCTTTAGAGAGAAAAAACAGTGTAAAGGTGCCTATACACCTTGCGATTATCGTTCGGAAATCAAATGCGATCGGGTTTTCGTATGATAATCGGCCAGTTGATGGGAAGTGAACGATCATAATTACTGTAGAACTGGCCGAATTTCCTCGATGGGTCAGGCTGGAAAAGTTTTTTAGAATCATACGAAATCCTCTGGATTAGTGCCGTTTTCATACGAAAAAAATTGCAACATGAACACTGCACATGTGCTAACCAAAATCCGTTCTGTCGATCGACGAAATTTGCCCAGTATTTTTGTAATTAGTTCCATTCCAAATATTTTTTGTAAACTGCTTTGGGGAAAGCACATACCTTATTGAAATTGTGAAATTTGGGCTCCACTAGTGTGAATACAAAAGAACAATTCTTACACAAACTGCCATAAACCTGAAGATTTTTGAATATAAATTAACTGCAACACATTTCTGTACAAAAATCCAACATATTTCCTCTAAAATAAACCGGTCATAAACCAGGGCAGTTCAGACTGAGCACATGATAAACAAATTCATAATCAGAGGTTACTGTGTGTCTACACCATCAGCAGATCTACGGATAACCAGCCAACCTGAGATAGGTAGTTAACCTTGGCCCCACTCCCTCCTACCTCTGGTTGACCTGATGGGTAGTTTTATTGGCCAATATAGAAAGTTTGAAGATGGGGAAAGATGCCCAGATTGAAGTATACAGGAAAAGTCCAGCATTTTTTAGAAGTTCATCACCGGTTTAAAGTTAAGGTATAGCCAAAACATGTGTCAAATGTTTAGTGCTGTCTGTGTTGGATAGACTCACTCTGTCTATTTGCCCTCTTGACCACTGTTAGTAAGAGATAAAGTGATGTAAAACCCCCCAAAAAAGCAAATGTTAGTAGGGTTGCACTGACACCGATATCAGTATCTGTATCGGTGGCGATGCTGGGCATTTTCACGTGTACTCGTACTTGTGAAAATGAACGATACCAGCACTTTAAACTTTGGTCCCGCGCTTGCTGGGGACATTGCGGCAGCCTGGTGGAGACCTCTTGGCGGCTTTTTAAAGCGCCAGTCCATCTGCAATTCTCCTCCTTCTCCTTCCCACCGCCTGCACAGCCAATAGTGGGACCCTGCACCCGCCTACACAGCCATGCTGAGACCCCACTACCTGCCTGCACAGCCATTGTGAGACCCGCACAAACATGGTGAGACCCGCACGCAGCTCTGGTGAGACTGCACAGCCATGGTAAGACCCGCACCCAGCCCTAGTGAGATCCCGCACAGCCTCCTGAGACCCCGCACAGCCCTGATCAGACCTTGCACTGCCTCCTGAGGCGCCGCACAGCCCTGGTGAGTAACACAGAGTATAAAGCTTCATATTGTTCTGCATTGCTGTTTAATGTATTGCTGGGATTTGTAGTCCTTTTTGGCTTATGGTTTCTGCATTGCTGTATAATGTATTGTTGAGATTTGTAGTCTTCTATCATTGGTGGTATTCTGCATTGTTGTATAATGTAGTGCTGGGGTTTGTAGTCTCTCTACAGCTTGGAGTCAGTGGCAGAACTACCAGGGTTGCATCATTAGTCTGTATTGTTTTCGAAAAACTGTCACATGATGATAAAAAAGAGTATTGGTAATTGATATTGGTGAGTCCTTGAGGAAAAGTATCGGTACATGTACTCGGTCTGGAAAAAATGGTATTGTGCATCCCTAGTTATTAGGTGTGGGAAAATCGTCCAAAAAGAGAAAATTGTGCTCACTTTGTAGAGATTTTCTCTTACTTCTTATCGTATCTCCAGTATGGGAACTAAAGGTAAATCTCCTGAACAGGACACCAAAAATAAAATAAACTGAGATTTTAGCACTTCACCACTCTGCTAAAAACTAGGTTAAAAAAAGTTTTGGCTATAATTATACCTTAACTTGCATGATTACATTCTGATTTCTGAGCTTTATAAGCTTTCCTTATAAAATATAAGTAATGGCATGCCAACATTGTGTTTTATTTAACGTTAGAAATCAATATTAATATATTTACCGAAAACCTATGTAAGTCTTTTGATTCTTTTCAGGAGTCTATGATGGGACGTGTTACCCAGGTGTCCAGATGGGGATGACAATTGTGGGTTTGGGGTCCTCTTCTGGAACTGATTATTGGTTGCTGAAAAACAGGTAAGCTGCCTGCTATTATGATTATTAACACAAATAATTTCACATTGTGTAAATGTGCCTAGTGTCAATTCACAAAAGTAGAATACATGTGGTATTTTTATTATTATGCATCATTGCTATGCATTAAATTATTTATTTCCTAAAGCTAAAAGATTCGCTGACCCACTTTTATGTCATTAATTGCATTTTGTAGTAATTTCTATTAAAATTATTTCACAAAGATTATTGCACAGGTTTGTGCTCTTAAAGAGTTAGAAATCAATTACCAGCCTGTGAAATAAAATACTGGTATAGGAGAAACAGCAGCTTTTAATAGTTTCATGTTCATTACCTGTGTACAAATAGCATTTGCACACTAATGTGATATTTATTTTTGTCCAAAGAAAATTTTCATGTATTATCATGGCATTAAAAAAAGAAATGCATGTAACATAATTTATTTGGCTTGTGACCAGAACTGGACCGCGTACTCCAGATGAGGTCGAACCAATGATCTATAAAGTGGCAAAATTATAGACTTGATGTGTTCAAGCAATGTCTTTAAAATTCTGAGTCTATGAAATTGGTATCAGTAAAAGAGACTCACTTGGCCCATTCCAACATTGCTTCATCTCTGCTCCATGCACTATTGCAGCAGCCTCAATATACTCTATGTAAGCTCTGTGCTGGATGGTGTCAGAGCTTAAACAGGGTTGATGTCATGTGAAAATGTTTAGACCTGATGATTGGCCGCTCAGGCCTTAGCACAACATCATGGGGGGAGATCACATGCTGCCCCATACCCGAAAGCGATGCTTGCGATGTTTGCAACAGAGCAGAGGGCAGCTGGGAAGCACTATAAAGGTGATCATAAGTGGGCCATGACGTGGTCTTAGAAAAGACTTTGTGGCAGAGTCTCTTTTGCTTCGACAAAAAGGAAGCTACCTTTGTTGGAAGAGATCTATTCTAAGAGTTTTTTTGGGACGTCTGGCAGCACCATGTAATGTCACTTGTGTAGGCTATACTGATGGTAGTGAGAGCTGTAATCATCTCAGTTGAATAGAGTTGGGCCAGGACAGGATCTAGGGTGCATGGCCAGGGGTGGACTTTCTCACAGGGGGACAGTGGGATCACTCTGTGGGCCCTGGGTATGTGGCTTAAAACAAAGAAAATGTGCCTAGAGGGGGTCTGTGATTTCTCTCTGAAATTGTACCTGTCATTTTTATCAATTTCATGTCTGCCTCTCTGCGCTGATCGTTGTGTCCCCTGGTGTTCCCAGTCACGTCATTCCTGTTAAATGTCACTGTGCACAGCAACATAAGAACGTCCGTAACATGATTGACAGCTGCTGTCTGGCTGTGAACCATCCCCCATCTTGTGCTGCACCTGTGTTGCTAGACAGCAACATTAGAAGTAAGGGTTGGCATCGGACCATCTGACCTCCTCCTCTCACCATCACCTTCCACATCCTGAATAAAAACCAGCCCCTGCCAATGCACCCTGAGAGCTGCTGGAAATAATGCTTCTAAGCTGGCTGGCTGTGTGGGCCAGGCGTCCAGGATGGAAGAGACACGTGGCAGTGGATGGCCATCTTTACATAGTAAGTGAACCAATAAATACCTAAACTAAGCTAAATAATTGACTAACTAAAATTGGAAAACTACATCCTACTAGGATACAGTAACTGTGGTGCAATTTTCGGGGGCCCAATCATCACACACTTTTGGACTTGACTGGTAATGCTGTTTGCTTAATTTGGGCAGGTGGCCATCTTGTTTAGCAAGTGAAACAGAAAGCCTAACCTAATCTGAATAATTGACTGATCAAAAAAAAAACAAAAAAAACATTATATCCGGGGTCACAGAAGAAATGGTCTAATTTTTTGAAGGGTCAGTAACTAATTTCCGGAATGGAAATACCGTCTGCTGGGATTTGGACAGGCGGTCACCCTGTTCAGTAAATGAACCAGAAAAGCCTTAAATAATCTGAAAAACACTATCCTGGTGAACAGTAAGAATGGACTAAGTTTTTGGAAAGACCCTAGTGGTCGAAAAGTGTGACTACACACTTCTGGACTGGTACTGCTGGGATTTGGGAAATGGGTGGTCATCATCTTTATCAATTGAAACAGAAAAAGCATGACATAAATGAAATAACTGACTGATTGGGAATTGAAAAAACTATATTCTGGGGCACAGTAACAGTGCTTTCATTTAGTTATGGTAATTAATTTAACTCTAAACTAATAATGCTAGGAAGTGAAACAGCAAAGCCTGAAGTAATCTCAATAACTGACTGACTTAAAATGTAAAACTATATTGTGTGAGAATGGTAAAATCTATTTTTGGGACACTCATTTGCCCTGTTTAGAGCTTTCTAGAATGGCCTTTATCACCCACAAGCAAATATTTAAAGAAGTCTCTGTATGTTATGTAACAAGGAGCATGGATATCCATCTGCTGCTTGCAAAATAATGATAGTAACTAAAATTCTATTTCACATTTGTAAATGTTGCAGCTGGTGTTTTATGTAAATGTTTTTTCCTAGGAATTTTAACCTCAGTGATGTTCTTTAGTCTTGCACTGACTCTTTCTTGAAGCCGTCTCCAAGCTAATGGTAAAAAAAGTGATTTCCTCCAGGAACATTGCCCCATTCTTGATGTCATCCCCTGGTCAACGTTAGCCAAGCAAGATGTAACACAGAGATGTCCTCCAGAAGTTGACAACATGGAGCCATTGTTTGAGGCAAACATACCACATTTTTCTAAATTGATCCAAAAAGTGTATCCCACCTTAAAGCCTGGTTATGTCAATAATATTATTTTCTTTTTTTCATAAAGGCTGATCCCCCAAACCCAAATGCCATCACCAGGTCAACAGGCAGCAAGCCGAACACAACACAGAGAAATATCGTTCACCATCTAACAATGTTGAGGCCTGGTCTGAGGTAAGTGCCAGTGTTTTTTTTATTTTATTTGCTACTACACTTGTACACAAACATTTTGTGTAGAAATTACAACTGTTATGTGTTACCTATAGGTCACGGTGACATGTTTTCAAAAAGAAGGTCATCAACAAGTAAGAAAAGTGAAGAGCCGTATCAACAGAAAATATGGAAAACTGCTTTCCAAAAGAGATTACAGGCCGGCAAAAAAGAAGTGGTTGAAGCAGGATCAGCTCCTGGTCAGCAAAAATTAGGCCTGAGAAAACACTACTAACTATGCATATTCTGCAATGTCAAGTTTGTATGTTAGTGACTAGGCATGTCTGGAAGAAGCTTTAGGTAATGACATGGGGAAACATGGCAGTGTCCCCATTCTAAACTCAACTTCATGTTCACAAATACCTCCAAAAACTGTAGAAACTGTTATCTTATGTGTAGACCTACCTCTGTCAAATCTGTAATGTTCTTCTCTGTATGCCTTCCACACCTGAAGAGTCTGTAATTTCATGCCAGGGGGTGTTGTCCAAATATGCAGAATCTGTAATTCCATGGTAAAATAAACTGTAATTGCTGCCTTCTGTAATTTTAGAATCTGTTGAAACACCTTCAGATATGCTTTCTACACCCACTGAATCATTTTTCACATGTTCTGATATATCTTCTACATCTAAGTCTAAGGTGTTTGGGGCATCAGATTCTTTGTTTAGTACAATTACTAAATCATACTTTCTTAGTTATATTAAAGTCAAAATGTTTTACGTGACTTCAAATGCTATATTAATCAATGTTTAAAAGTTTTGGTCTCCTCAGAATCAGCTGGTTCCCAGAGTGCTGATATTGTGGTGGCTCCTTTGCCCTGCAGGATCCAAAGGAGCAACTCTTGTGTGTCCTAGTAAATTAAGTGTGTGTCTCCACAAACAGACAGCAAAGAAAGTCACTCCACTGCCCACGCTACTAGATGGACAGCTGCTGGAGACTGTAGTGTTCCGTGTGATCTTACTGGACTGGAAGTTCAGGAAAGTAGAGCTGAGAGAGTTGGGGCCAGCTGTTTGGAAAAATGTTAAGAAAAACTTTGCTGGACAATGTATATTTGTTTGATCTGGATTCATTATTGAAAAAAAGTTTGAGAGTATAATATTACTTAAAATCCTATACTGCCATCTTGAGGCACTACTAATATGTTACTTTTCCACGTGCATAGAGTCTACTTAGTCCCTGTGCTCATTGTTTGTGCAATTCAAACAGAATGTTATTATGTTAACTTTCCAAGGACATAAAGTCTAACTTTGTCATATGCCCAATGTGTGCACAATTTCATGAAAACGCCTTACATTTTGTATAGAAACCCAAGAAATGCTTTGATCTAATGGTTTGGTTTTCAGTAATAACAAAGTTGATTAATTTGTGGTTGCAAAGTCGAAAATGTTTGTGTATGCATGTGTAGCACATAGGCGCAACAAAAGAGGAAGGGAGGGTGGGTCGCTTCCAGGAGGCAGTCGTTAATTATGTTAGTGACTTACTGAAGTTGCAGTGCACAGTAACAATTGATAGGAATGACATGGCCAGGGATCTTCGGGGTGGAATAAACAGTGCAGAGAGGCAGGCATGAAATTGACAAGAATGACGGGTAGAAATTACAGACCCTCCACTAGGAAGTTTTTTATTTCATTTTGTTGGCCCACTTAATTGTGGGTCCACGTAGGAGCCTTCAGTGCTCCGCTGGGCCAGTCTAATCCTGCATGTCTCGGGGAACATGGGGAATCTGGATAACATGAAGCATCAGCAAATGTATATTTGTCAGCAGAAAACAGGGTACATATTGGAACTCTCTGACTAATTTTGAGACCTAACTACACTGGTAGAATGTCACAAATGCGAGCAGTTCCTTTCAGGGGCGTTCTGTTTATGCTGCAGTTGAAAGCCATTTACATTATGAAAGGGTCACAAGGGGAAAAAAATGACTGGAGAATTGTCAGTAGATGAACCCCTTTCTAACCCCCCTTGAATGGTTTCAATATCAGGTTTTCTATGTTGCCATTGATCAGGCCACAACCAGCCTGGAACTCTGAAAAAATAAAAATTGCCTGATTAAAAGTTCAAAAACTATATCATGTGGCACAGTAAGAATGCTAAAACTTATATGTGGGTCAGTCACTCGCTTCTCGGCTGGTATTGCTGGCATTTGTGGAATATTTGGCTCAGTCACTGGACTAATTATTTTGCAATTGTGCAGTTCAGGTGGCCATCTTCTTTAGTAAGTGCACCAGAAAAGACTGAGTGTAAATAAATGACTGACTACAAATTAATAAACTATACCCTTTGGCACACACGGTATAATTTTTTGGGGGGTCAAACACTCACTTTTCAACTGGTAAAGCTGGGATATGTGCTAATATTTATCCTATTTAGAACCCTAACACTGTGTGTATTTCCACTTTCACAGCCAAATTGGGGTAACACCTATTTTATATTCGTTACATGTTCCCATTAACATAGCATAAGTTAAAAAAATGCTTCTTACAGTTTAAATTGCTTTTACTGGGATTAGAATATTTTCTAATATTGCAAAACTCTACATAATATCAACATCTTAAGGACTGGGTAAAGCTATGATTTCAGCTCTTTACCACTGGTCATCTTCCTCATCATAATTAACAAAACTTGCTTGACCAATTACTATGTATGTATTTTACTGTAATTTGTTGAATGTAGAAATCAGACGTGATTATTTCTGATTATATACACAATTGTGTTATATAAACTACACAACTAACGTCAACATCTTGAAGACTGGGTAATACAATGATTTAATCTCTGTACCATTGTTCATTATCCTCTTCATGCTTAGTGGCACTTGCTTGACCAATTGCTGTGTAGGTAATTTTCCTGTACAATCCAAACATGGCCGCACTCCACAGATCTTACCAAACTTCTCCAAACTTTATTGATCCAAGCATGTATATACATTGCACTAAAAAGCTCCCCAGCACAACCAAAAGCCTCTTATGCATTTCACCAATGATGCTTAGTCAGAGGTACCTCTGTGACTAAGCCCCTGGTGAAATGCGCAAGCGGGTTTTGGTTGTGCTGGGGAACATTTTAGTACAGTGTATATACATGCTCGGATCAATTAAGTTTGTAGAAGTTTGTTAAGATCTGTTGAGTGCGGCCATCTTTGGATTGTACTGGTCGTTGTTGAGCAGGCACTTGCGGGATCTATGCAACATGATCAAAGCCGGAGGGTTGGAGACCTTTCTGTGATTGCTATGTAATTTTCCTGTTATCTGTTTATACACATCATTTTACGTTATCTGTTTATACACATCATTTTCTGTTATCTGTTTATACGCATCATTTTCTGTTATCTGTTCATACACATCTTTGTATTGTTCACCGAGCACAAAAATGTATAGGCGTTTTGTGTTCATTGGTTTCATCAGAAATAAAGGCAATATTGTTGGATGAAGACTGTGTCGTGTTATATTTGGCTAACTGTGCCCCCAGACCTAACTTGCCCCTATTGTGTCCAGAGTCCCAGTCCACCCCTGTGCATGGCTATATTGTGGCTTACAATTACACTGTGGAGGTGATTTATCTACTGTATGTTCACATACAACATTAAATCATAAAAAGGCAAAGTTCCTGTTTTTTAAAATCCCTCTTTACATCATTTGGTATATAAAGTGAACACGTTCCCTTCTCTTGATTGCACTTTACTTCACTTAATGTCAGAAAATGAAGAGGGGATGATGGAGGAGGGAAGAACCAGGAAAGGCAAAATGTAAGCAGATTAAACTTCAGCTTTAAGTGAAATTCTTTCCTTGGTGTCCATACTGGCAGTGCCAGCTTAGATTCTAAGTAAGACGAAATTAGGTGGTGGCTGGTTAAAGCATATATTCCTAATATTGAATTATTGCTGCCATTTTTGTGTCTAGAGCTATTAATTCATATTTTTATTTTGTATCCTACAGCTGGGGAAAGGCATGGGGTGAAGAAGGCTATGTAAGAGTGAAACGCAACGTCAATCAGTGCGGGATTGCTGACAATGCAGTGACTGGAGATGTTGCAGCTTCAACATAAAAAAGGAAAGACAAAACACAAGCTTAATATCTTCCCCTTTTCTGTATTATTATATCCTTCGAATCTGAATATATTATGACTGCAATTTGTACTTTTGTGACAGATGGAGATGGAAAACAAACATGCTATTGTATTCTTATTTGTTGAGGTTCACTGTAAATAATCCTCCACCTATGTCTACAATCAGTTTAAAGTATTCAGCTATCCTTTGTTGTGAAGCATATAACAGCCAAATGCCATTGGTAGCAATGTTACTGATCCTGTGTAATCTTTGCTATTTAAATGAATGATAGCAGTGTAGAGCTCCAACTGTGCTCTATCCAAACTACTAAATGTAATGTAAGTATTTTAGTAAACTAAATTTGAAAAGTACCCACTACTGATCTAGAGATACTACATCTAGTTTATGCAAACAGTTCAAATTTTATAAAATGAGGTCCTGCAAGTAAGCTGTGGCAGAGCTTGTCAATCCACGCATCCGATAGCGATCGCTGTTTTCCTCAGAGATTACGCATCTGCCAAACACGTACAGGGTGAGGCTAGAAGACAAATTATTATTATTATACAGGATTTATATAGCGCCAACAGTTTGCGCAGCGCTTTATAATATAGGGAAGACATTACAATCACAATACAAATCAAGACAACAAATGTAAAGCAGTGATTTTTAAAGATGCTTTCAGTTGGCAGAACATTTAAAAGTAGGGATGCACCGATACCGATACTAGTATCGGTATCAGTGCTCATACTGAGTATTTGGGAGAGTTCTTGTACTCGCCCAAATGCTCCGATGCCTAGCCCGATACTTCCTGTATCAGGAAGCCGGGCAGCGCGTCATTACACGCTGCCCGACTTCCTGATTGGCCCCGAAGCCGGCTCCATGCTCCTTCGTCACCTGTGAGCATGGAGTTGGCTTCCCGGCCAGTCAGGAATCCGGGCAGCATGTAATGACACGCTGCCCGGCTTTCTGATTGGTCGGGAAGCTGGCCAATCAGGAAGCCGGGCGCCGCGTCATGACACGGCACCCGGCTTCCATTATTGACCAGAAAGCTGGCTCCATGCTTTCTCATCACATAGTGATGAGAAGCATGGGGGCGGCTTCCTTTTTAATTGCGAAGCCGGCTGGCGAGTCTGCCGCTGCCGCCTGGCTTCTTGAATGGGACTTACGGTACCCCGTATTCGGTATCGGCGAGTACCGGAAAAAAACATCGGTACTCATACTCGGTAGCATAATACCGGTATCAGTGCATGCCTATTTAAAAGTATTTTTTGCAGTTTACTATACTTTATTATCCTGAGTAAGTTTAGGCTGTTTCTTTGACTCTTTTTTTTTTCTACCATGACTCACACTATAAATAAAACTCTGCATGAATTTAATTTTGTTTGTTTCTATTTTTGTCTCGAAACTATACACACACTTGGCCATAATATACAGAGCATTATGAAAAGAAGTCTTTTTTATAAAATGAATAATTCTACTTCAATGAGTTGTACCTCTGCCTTCTCCATATCAGCTCAGTATGACTCATTTATGGAAATTGGTGATGAAGTCACCTACAGTTATTCAAATTCCATGTTTCATTTGTACAAGGCATTTAGCAAACAAATACTGTAATCTGACTGAGAATGTGTAGGTGCACCATTACAGCAAAACACCAGCCAAAACCTTTTTACTTTTTTGAATAGCATGGGGAAGAGTAGAATCTTAGATTATTATTGCTGTCTCTGCCCCTGCTAGGGAACGCTTCCTCATTCTAGTCCTTGTTACTCCTGTCCTTTCCAACAGGGACACAGAAAACAGTGAAGTACTTTAACCCCTTCATGACTGAGCTTGTTTTTAGTTTCTGTTCGTAAATGACTGACATTTTTGACATTCTTGCTGTGTGATTCTTCCACGTCAGTAATATACTGTCTTACAAAGTGCACCCACACATATTATATATTGTTTTTTAGAGAACAGATAAGGCTATATATTTATATCACATATGTGTACCTAACGCGTCACTTTGGACAAATAAAATATAAAAAACAGGAAAAAACTTAAAGAAAACACTTTTTCCCCTGTTTTGATTTGTGGTATTTTCAGTAAAATAGCACAGCTAAATAAAAATGCAATAAATACATTCATTTATTTGTCCTTTATTTGGAAGAACCTCACATTCCTAGGATTTTAGACATTTTTCTGTACTTCTCACCCTAAAACTAAATCCTAACATTTTTATATTTTTTTCGCCTGGCATACAATGCCACTGTCACTAAGTGTCACACTTAATGTCAGCGACATACGTTGAACATCACTGTCATTAGGGGGTTAAATTAAAAAAAATGAACCCCTTAGGGTGAAAAACAAATCTTCAGCTCAGCTGCAGATTTTCATTGTAATGGGTTAATTTGTATATTAATAATAGCATAACATATATTTATATATATAATTTTTATTTGTTACATTTATTTTTATACACTATATTTTTATTTTTTTTATACTTTTCACTATTTAAAAAAAACATTTTTTAAATTTTCATTTTATTTATATAATTATATCAAGCAGTCAATGTGAATTAATCTCACTATTACTGCTTGATCATTTAATAAATTCATTTTTAGTTATTATTAGGCTGCTTCAAACTTAAGAACAGCCAATAATAACCTTAGTGACACTGATCCTGCAGCTTTTCAGGATCAGATGTTACTAAAGGTTTTCAGAAACCTGCAACATTCTTTCAGCAATAGAAACATGTATTGAAATGTTTCTATTGCTGAAAGTTTAGGGGGGAAAAAAGCCGGTATACGGATTTCCTGATCTATACCAGCTGTCAGTGATGGCTAGAACTGTAAATGCGGCTCTGCTCTCACTGTCAATACTGAGGCATCCATTAATGAATAGTAACCGCTGATTCTCAGCGGTTACCAGCATTACAGAGCCCCAACTAGCTGATCATGTACAGTGTACGTGAGCAGTCATTTGGGCACTTTGTGGAGAGACGTACAGTGTATGTCTCCCATCACAAAGGGGTTAAATGTGTGTGTAAACCCTAACAATTAATTTAGCTCATTTTCTTTCTTTTGTACTGCTAAATATACCATTGAAAGTGTTTTGATATATCTGTTTGATAAGTGCAAAAAATACCAGTTCATCATGTCTTGCTGATCCTGTGGGGTAATAACTTCCTGTGCCCTCTGCCGCTGTTATCTCAGGATGTCTAATCAGTCCTCTTAGTTCTTCCCTTGGACTACAAAACATGTCACCCTTGAGTTGTGGAGATAAGGAGATTGGTAGGTGTGGGAGTATTCTGTAATTTACCAAAAGTCAACTGGGCAAAGCTGACACCATTTCTTATGATTTCATACTAGGAATGGCACTGTGTCATCAGTCCATAAAAGAATATTATGAGCTGGGTACATTTTTGTCAGGATCAATAGGTATTTATTTTTATGTTAGGGTCTTTAGGGAATAAAACATGGTAACGTGAGTATATTTTGCAGAGATGTACTGACTACTGTTTTATTTTGCATGTTGTAGAGAGTGGGAGGGTTAAAACCTTTCTTTTCCTACCCCAGTCATTGGGAGTGAAATTTCCCTAGCACGTACAGATATAAAAGCAGAAGTTTTATGCCTTCTCTAGTTGATCCAGAAATTAAAAAAAGGTTAGGGCCACAAATACACTTTATTATCAGAAATGCATTATCCATGGTAGCATAATAAGACAATTTAAAAATCATAATGATTAATTCAGTAAGGTTAAGTGCAATGTACAATGACCTACATTGATCAATCACCATTGAATGGATTTAATATCATTTTGCACATCATTACTGCACTTTGCACCAGTTTTTTGGAGAAAGAAGGTTTATATACACAAAATGCCTCACTTTGGAACATTTTAAAGTACATTGAAGTTTAGCTCTACATGACTTTATCTCTTATCTGTTATATTTATATAACTTTAACAGCTTTTAAAATGTTTGAAAAATGTAGACAGTGAAATATATATGCAGTCACAGGTGAAGTGTGTGTCAAAGATGTTCCTTATCATTGTCGTACATCATTAGTTACATATAATAACCTGTGACAAAGTTTAAAGTTCAATACAGAAAAAGCTAACCGAGTTCCAAGTGACACAGCTTTTCAGAGCCATCTATGCTTATTGCCTGTGACAATTTTCATAGTGTCATCTTATACCTTGCATAGCAGCAACACTTAACGTTATTTCTCTTAGCTCCCTCAGGCCGGGTTCACACCTAAGCGGCATAGTTTTTGCACGTTGATACGCCCATGTTCAGCGTGCGGTTATTTGCACATTCATGCTTTTTTTGCAAAATTTGATGCGCATTTATGCATGCGTACATGCTTGTTTTGCAAAATTTGATGCGCATTTATACATGCGTACATGAAGACGTGCGTTTTGACTGGCAACTTAAACATTGCAGGCAATGGAAAAACGTGCGTACAAACGCATAAAAAATGTGTTCTGCCGTGCATTGCCGGGTGTTTCCATTGAAGTCTATGGGTCAAAACTGCGCTGTTACCCACCCCAAATAAGCTCATGTAACTTGGTGTTTAACTGCTGGCATTTTGCTGCTCAGGTGTGTACAGGGGCCATTGAAAAACATTGGATTTCTTGTGTGGGGTGTTTAAAAGCGTTTTTCCAACTGCTCCAAAACGCCTAGGCGTGAACCAGGCCTTGGGGCTTATACACACAGCACTGTCTGCTATAGAGCCGCTTATCTGTCCCTAGCAGCATGTAGTTACTCTGTGAGAGTTTACTTGTGATCTGCTGTGGAAAGTGTCAGCCTGTCATTGATTTGTACTGGCTTCCTGTCCACAGCTGATATTAAACACTTGTCTGTATCCACCACAGAAATACACTGATCTGGACGGTGTATTTTTGTGGTATGCCTGAGGGTCAAGAGCCACACTGGGTCAGAGATTCTGTCGGCTCTTCAGGGGCAGGCTAAGAGGTGGCTGACCCCACATGATCTTGTGCTAGGCAAGGTCAGGTGTGACTATGGAACCAACCTGCTGTCCTTCAGCAGGGGAAGTTCACACACGTGTCTTGCCTGGCAAATGTCCCCAACCTGGTGCTGAAGGAGTTCCTAGTTAGGTATCCTGGCTTCCATGATGCCCTGCAGCAGGCAAGAAGAGTGCGCAGCCACTTCAGGTAGTCATACTGTTAAAACCATAAAACCAGATATATTGAAATATGTATGTGTGAACCTTATATGATGATTGATTTTCTATATTTTAATCTATCCAAGTTTGGAGATTCAGTTTTTTACTGTACTGCTGATTTTGAGTTACAATTGGTAATCAATCAGTAAGCCTGACAGGCAGACCTAAGTATAGTTGAAACAGTTGTTGGGAATGTTCAAAGAAGACTATGATGCCCAAAATGGGATACAAGGAGAACACATGACTCAGCTACTAGAGTATGGCACTGCCTTATGCTAATCAGAAAGACTTTTAAGGTAAACATCACATAGGTTATTTTAAAATAAAAGCATGGATAAAAGGATGAGGGATGATCCTTCAAGGGACACGCACACACACTCACACATTCACACTACAGACACACACGCACAGCATCACACAGACACACCCACACTCACATTGAATAGACAGACACCTGTTAGGACTATTTTTACTTCCTAACTAAAAGACATGTTTCTTAAGCATCTTATAGATTTCTGCTGTAAGATATACTATATTTTGTAATCATCAAGCATCTTATAGACTAATTCTGTAAGATATACCATATCCTGTAATATTTTGTAACTTTAAATTAAACACATTCTTAACTTTATGCAACAACGGAAACAATCATCTATTATTGAACTTTGCCACCCTATGCTTCGAGAAAAGGAATATGACATAAAAAATCATATTTCGTGTCATTTTCTTACACATACCCAGCTAGTGTTCACCTTGATCAACTTCAGCTGCAACACAAGCTGCCTGCCAACTGGTTGATATGTGACACACCTATCCCTGCAATGCCATTTTGACCATGCTGCAGCAGCTGCACACCTGCAACAAGAATTTTTGTGAGTATAGAATCAGGACTGGCTCTGGGGACCTGGGGTTCTTTTTCTCACATGAGTGGCTCCAAACACCTGCTGATCTAATCTGGATATGTGATTGTGAGTATGGGGATTGATTCCCTGAATAGAAAAGACAAGTGCACTCACTTGCTGAAATATTGGAACACATTTTTGTGATCAGTTTGAACGATGGTGAGGTGTATATAGGAAGGTCCAGGTATTGAGATAAGAAATGTTCCGCCCCTCTGAGGAAGTCCCTTGCTGGAAGGAAACATGTTAGGGAGCTGGTAGAGATTGCATATGGGGTTGGACCCGGTACCTTTGGAGCCCGTGTGTTTAAGACCAAGCCGAAGTGTGCACTGACTAAGATCTGATATAACAAGGCTGCTGTGTTTGCTGGAACTGATACCAACTTAACAAGTGATGCTATCTTTTTACATTCCACTGTTGGCATTGCAGAGAGTGAATGTATCCATCAAAAACATCCAAGTACAAACATCATGTTTCTATGTAAAATCTGGGATTTGTTCTAGAACCTGTGATTCCCAGCGCCATTACCCATTTGCATCTAACATCAACAACTGTGAAAGTGCTTACCTGACATGTGAATAAAGACGATTCCAGTATCATTTACCTCTTTACACCCTGTAACTCCTACCATATGCATGGAGGTGGTGGTTGAGATATAAAGGCACTGGGTATATGCACTTCACATAGTTTAACCCACTGCGTGATGTTGCAGTGTGTGGTATAGAACAATATTGGCTGGGAGAAAAATGGATATATATATATTGGCCAGTGTGCTGTTAAAGAGGGCATTCAGTGCAGCAAGCAGTTTTGTGACAGATCAACTGTATAAAAATAAATAGTTCTGGATCAGCAATGAGTTCAAAGCCACTGCAGCTGATGCTAACAAATATATTCACCATCTCCTGCCACCTCTATTTACCTGCCATCATTACCAGTCCCTTCCAGCACTCCTGGCCTGCCACCATTACCATCCACTGCCACAGTTGCTGGCTTGTCATTGTTACCAGCTTCTACCACCATTACCAGCTCCTTCTACCTCTATTGGTCCAACACCATAACTATATCCTTCCACTGCTGCTGGCCTGCCTCAAAGTATCTAGTATATTCTGGTGATAAGACATTGTCAATGTGCCACACATAATGTTTTCACAGTTTGTGCTTTGCTGAAATATTTATAATTCTTGATTTAGGGTAAATTATGCCCTGTGTCTCTTTGTTTGCAATCAAGCATATTGGTGGCTCTTGTCTGTCTGAAATAGTGTAATCTAACTGTGATTTATTTAATGAACCCAGCCTGGTCTCTACATTAAACTTCAGTCTGGTAAAAGTGTTTACATAGTGTATTATGCTGACTTTTTTTTTACCTGTGAAATAATTACACTCTTATTTTATTGTCTTCTTTTAAAGCTGCCTGGAGTCTCCCTCTTCTTTTTCAAATGTTCATATATGCAATGACATACATCCTTAGACCCATTCTGTGCAGACAGTAGGCAGCCTGCGGATTCTGCTGACTTGGCAGAATCCGCAGGCAGCAGAACTCTTCAATAAGAGACAGTTTCACTTCAAATAAGTGCAGTACAGAGGATGTTTTCTAGTCTTTTGAAATGTAAAAAGACAAGGCCTTTCCTAAGCCCTGTCTCTCTGATGAGCTGCAATAGAATGAGGATACGAAACATGAGAAAAGCAGGGAGGGTCTAGCTAGGACTGTACAATCTAGTTCTAAATAGGAAGAGTGGCAGGAGAATATACTAATGGAACAAATAAACAAGTTTCTGTCACACAACGCTCCCAGTGGGTGTCAATCACTAAATCAATAACACAATGTAATAGAATAGAACACATAATATGTGGTACACTCCTTATAAAAAAAGTGCTCTAGCAAAGTGCTTAAATACTCTGTATGGAGTCAGTACAACATTTTGGTGGCTTTATTCTATGAAATAATACACTCTAAAGTTGATTATAGGATTAAAAGCTAGCTCCTCTCTCTCCTGTTCAAACAGCAGCCTTGTACAATTGATTAAATACTGTGCACAGACACTGTTATATTAAAGGTTGGCTGTTGCCTCTCTTGATCAAAATGCAGCCTACCAAACATGTTTACATACTGTCTATAGAGTCAGTAAAATATTTCTTCTTTTCTCCCTTTGTCGATATGCCGTATGTGTCATTTTAAAAATGCAGCAGGCGGGAGATACAGAGAGACGAGCCCCATCGACTTCTATGGGGCATTACTGCGCAGGTATTGCCATAAGTAAGAGGACTTTGGTGCAGAATATAAACAATCCTTTGAGATTTTTTACATCTTTACATTTATATATTTTACATTTTAGACTGGAATACCTGGAGATTTTGTGTACTTTTAAAGGGTGCCATGACTGAAAAAGGTTGAGAAATGCTGGTATACACACATTCACACACATAGGTTGAACTGGATGGATCTGTGTCTTTATTCATCTTTACCAGCTATGTAACTTAATATTTGTGTTAAAAAATAACCAACATGCAACAATCTATAGGATGAATAAAAACTCTAGTGCAATATAAATCACTTTAAATGTTACATGTATTTGTATAGATCTCTGCACATTTGTGGTAGGAGGGATAGAGGATTTGGTTTTAAAAGAGGACCAGTCTTTTCCTCTTTCGCACGGGCATTCTGATCTGGTCAGTCTGTCAGGTTTTTTTAGGCGGATCTGATTGGAAGCCCAGTGTTAGTCTATTCTAGTCTCTAGTCTAGTCTCAAATGGAACAGAGTTCTGTCTTGGTGGATAGGGGGATAATCTAATGTAAACAGACACATGTCCCTTTAGATCCGATTCTCCATAGACCAACATGGGTCCAGTAATTTCATTTTTTTTCCTCCATCACAACATGGAGGCAAAAACTGGATAGGCACAGATGTCACAATAGTGCAGTCCGTTCCGATTATCAGGGGATATGTGCATGGATCCCCTGCTGAACGGAACTAAAGGTGTCCGTGTGAAAGGGGCCAGTCTGATCAGGAAGGGATCCATGCATGGATCAACTCCTGATCGGTAAAGATGTCACTATTGTGACATCCATGTTCATGCATCTTTTTCCTCCATCTTGTGATGGAGAAAAAACTGACATTACTGGGCACATGTTAGTCTATGGGCAGCTGGATCTAAACTCACTGTTTACATCTGGTTACCCCCAATCCGACACAATCAGGTCCAGTGAAATTGAACTCTGATCTGTTCATTTTTCTGGGCGCGGCTGAAGCCGAGGGTAACTGGATGTAAACGCGTGCCCGTCCATTTAGATCCGCCTGCCTTTACACTAACACGGAGCCCATGTGAAAGGGACCTAAGTGAGAGTCAGTAGAAAGCTATGCATTTGTATCCAATACTTGAGTATGTAATTAGTATCTCTTTTATGTATGTAAACATTTTGTTTAGGATGTCAGCCTTTATAAACATTTGTCATTGTGTCTCTTGTGTACATAGTTGCAGGTTTTAAATTCTGGTAAATTGTCTGAAGTTGAATAGCTTTGTTGAGTGTGGGTGAATCGTCCCTTTAAGCAGTATAGAAAGCAGTGTGTAATGCAGTTATGGGAGTGTTCAGGCTTGTGTGAGCACTTGTGGGTTGTGTAATATTATACAGAGTGCTCCATTCAGGAAGAACATGGCTGAAAGAGAGCTGTGCCTGCTGGAGAGGACATTCACCCTGCTGGGGCTGCTGCTGGCAGGTTACGTTCTTCTAAAGCAGCTGGTCAGCGTACTGAGGGGGCTGAAGAACCACATTGTGTCTGGCTGGTGGAGGACCAGTCTCACCCAGTATGGGCGCTGGGCAGGTAAGGGGAAGCTGCTGGAATGGTATAATTGTGGGAATGGAGTGCAGGCTGTGAGGTTTGGTGTCATGTTCATGTGCAGTGCTGTGTGCTTCTGTTAGGGCTCATCAATGTAGTGTATGGAGTGCAGTATCCATACTTGTCACAGATACAGTGCTATATACATGCTGTGCAGACATTTTATACTATGAAACCAATATGGATCTGCGCTTATGAATGAATGTTCGTGCTCCTATTGAGTCGCTGTGCTAAAAGAAAATCTTCTTTTGAGGCCAGGTTCACACCTGGTCGATTGCCACGCAGATTGCCATGCGGTCACAGAGTCACCAATCACAGACAATCATGCTGGCTGTGCCATTATTTTCTAGTAGCACCCCAATCACACGGTTTCCCGTCGCGATTCTGCCCATTCAAGCGAACACGATCACGGCCGTGCATCGTGAGCTGCAAAAAAGGTACAGGTCTGCACCAGCCCTAAGGTGTATATTAATCAGTTGCACTGCGCTACAATAGGGTTAAATGTATGTGAACAATCAAACAATCAAAAAAATCCCAAAGTGAAAATAAATATCAGAACTTGAATAATCCCAGTGACCTTTCATATATCACCCTTATATATAGTATTGTTTTCAGTGTACACCAACATATAACACATAGAAAGTGAATGCGATCAAAGAATCAGTGTCCCATCAGGCACCACAATCACTGGTGCCGTGCCTTTTACTCCACATCACTGGCTGTGTATATATAACGATGGTATATGAAAAGTCACTGCCTTCTGTCAAACAGCAGGGGGTGAGCGGAGCTGAAAGAAAACTTTCTCTCTCAGGTCCGCTCCTCTGGGACTGACAGAAGGCTATTGCAATTTAGAATAGCCAATAACAGAATGGCTATTGTTCCTGCAGAGGAGCGGACCTGAGAGAGAAAGTTCCATTAGAGGGGGACACCATTTTTTTTTTTGGCGTTGGGGTTCCCCCCTAAAATTCCTACCAGACCTAAAGGGTCTGGTATGAATTTCCGGGAAACCACACACTCTTTTTTTTATTATTACATGGGGTCCCCCCTAACATTCCTACCAGACCTAAAGGGTCTGGAATGAATTGCGCCCTAGGCAGCAGTGCTCCCTAGTGGCATCATCGGCCCTGGTGACAGCTATCAGATTGGGGATGGAAGTGTCCACAAAGAAGCAGAAGCTGTTACAGAATTACACAAATCTCTTGGCTTCTTTCATTAATGACATTTTTAACAATATTGTGTTACTTTGTTTTCATTTGAGATACAAGTCAGAGAAGTCAGAGAGCGATAAATGACAGCTCTCCCGCTTGCTGTGTTTCATTTCCGAATGAAATTCGGATGTATCCGAATTTCGTTATCAAACATTCTGATTCCTTCAGATTTGTTATTTCTGTCATTTGGAAATTCGGATGCATCTGAATGTCCAAATATACAGAAATTCCTACGAATTTCAATTCGGAATTAAACGAATTGCACATGTCTACCAGTTAATGGCACCCCAAATGTGGCTGGGCAAACATGCATTTTTCCTCCATTGAAATGCACACAAACACGTAGAAAAAAAACCGCAGAAGGCATATCGCAGATTGTGCTACTTGCACTTCTTTTCTGCATTTGTTGCATGTGCAATGGGAACACGGAGAACAAGCACGCACAAGTGGGCACGAACACGACGTTCATTCAAGTTATGCTCAGGTGTTAATAGGGTCTTAATCATGTTTGGTATGAACTTGAGCTCATCCCTACTCCTGGGCTGCATTCAGCATAGGACTTAATGCTCCTGTCTTCTTTTGCAGTGGTAACGGGTGCTACAGATGGCATAGGGAAGGCATATGCTCGAGAGGTAAGTTATTGCTAAATGATAGGGAAACACAGGGGAGGTTAAAAACAAAGTTAACAATTAAAACAGAACTCCAGGGAATTTTTTCTTAATCCTTGCAGTGGGGCTACACCCACACTGCAAGGATTAAGTGCCCATTTTTGTCTAGGTTCAAAAATAAAGTGATACTTTTAAAGGTAATTAACAGACATAAAAAACGTTAGATGCACGTATAATTAAATGGGAATATTTTGTTGTAATGAATGATCTGCAACAGGGTCTCTTTAAAGCTGAACATTGGGGGGAATTTAAAAACTACCCTCACAGTGTCCCTTCCCCAGCCCTCGCTCCCCCAGGATTCCTTCTTTCTGTATGACTGGTCCCCCAAAGCCGTTTTTCTTTGGCTCTCAATCCACCGATCACCCCCGTATGTCATTATGTACAATGCAGGAGCAGCAGTCCTGCATTGTAAGTGAGGATGCCGGGGGCCTGTCTATCGTCAGGCTGTCGGGGGAACTGTAGACTGTCGGCTGCTGAGGGAGTCAGGGATAAGGTAAGTGAAACTGTGTTCATTTAGACAAAAACAAGCATTTAAGCCTTGCAAGGAGAGTCACACTGCACACTGCAGAGGTATTTTTTAATTTTCCCCAGAGTTGAGCTTTAAAGCAGAACTCCTGGCAAAAATGTTTTTAACCCTTGCAGTGGGGCTATCCCATTTGTCTAGGTGCTAAAAAAAAGTTATACTCTAACTAAGGAACTAAGGCGATACTAGGGGTCTATTAGAACCTAAGTATTGCCTTAAAGAGTACCTGTAACCCCTAGTATGCTATCACATAGGTGGCTTGTAAGCCCCCCTATGTGATAGCAATTAAGTTAAGTAAAAAGAAAGAAAAAGTTTAGAAAAAATAAAACTAAATACAATAAATGTAAAAATATATATATTTAAAATTCCCCCACCCTCAAGAGCGCATGCATATTAATTTAAACACGTGTCAGGTGCACCTTCGATGCTAGGTATCGCCACGTGCACCAGAGTGAGAGCAATAATTCTAGGGCCAGTATTCACGGATATCTCTAAAATGATGACCTGGAGGAAAAGCCCCCGCTTTGGACAATTTGGGGTGCCGTATTTTGTTGCCATTTTACAGATGCATGCAATTTTAACCTTGGTATGTTGGGCATCTATTTACTCGCCGTAACCTCATCTTTTATATAAAACAAATTGGGTACTATATTGTGTTTTTGGGCACTAAAATTAACTTAAATGTATTTTTTACAAAACTTTTGGGTTGAATAGAATGAAAGAATGTTCGTGGGTTGAAAGAGTTGCGCTAATACACACAATATCATGTGACATGCAAATTTGCAACTGCCAACATTTTATTCCACAGGGTCTTTGCTTTCTGAAAATATGTCATATTTGGGGGTTTTAAGTAGGGAAGCACCGAAATTTCGGCCGCCAAATCATGTCGGACGAAAATGACACTTTGGCAAATTGCAGAAAGTGCCATCTTTCGGCGAAATAGTGGTGCATCCCTGATTTCTCTCCTCCTCGCTAGGCACTGCTCTGTGTCCCAGCGGGGAGGAGGGAAACTGTCATAGGAGGCCGAGTGGTGCGGGGGAGGAAAGCAATGTAAACAGCTGGCATCTTTCCTCTCGCACCGCTCCGCCTCCTGTGACAGATCAGGAGAGCGGCGGTGTGGGGGCGGAGACAGCTGCCAGCTGTTACAGGAGGCTGAGCTCTTCTCCCGCACAGCCCCGCTCAGCCCCCTGTGATAGATCAGGTGAGCGGCAGTGTGGGAGGGGAGACAGATGTCAGCTGTCACAGGAGATCAAGCTCTCCTCCCCGCACCACTCGCTCAGCCTCTTGTGACAGCCGATCCAGGATGGAGAGCGGAGCACAAACATTCATCGATCAGTGATCGCTGAGTGTTTGTAAATAATTGAGGACATAATATGTTTACTGTGTCCCCAATTAAAAATGAATGGGAAGTGATCTAGATCACTTCTTGTTCATTCATGATTGTGGACATGGTAAACACACTATCTCCACATGTTATGAATGAACAGGGACACTCAGTATAGAGGATTACTATTCATTTATAACAGAGGCTGCAGAAAAGGAGATTGAGGACTCTGTTTAGACCCCAAATATTTCCCCGGAGCCCCCGACAGTAAAGTAAAAAATACAAATATTTAATAAAAATAAATAAATGCATAAAAGTAAAATATCAAAAAAATAAAAAGTTTATCAAAAATAAGTTTATAAAAAATAAAAAATAAAAAAATAATATGATAATATGTCTCACATTGTATTTTGCATACATAAGTGTTGTTTATTTATTATTCTTTAGGCATACTGTAACATTACTAACTTTTGTCCTAGCTTGCAAAGAGAGGTCTGGACGTTGTGCTCATCAGCCGTACTTTGGAGAAGCTTAAGAAAGTGGCTGCAGAGATAGGTAAAAGTCTGTCTCTTCTGTAAATTAGATGTTATTCCATGTGCAACTGAGAATGAATATTATTATTATTGTACAGGATCTATATATTGCCAACAGTTTGCACTTCACTTTACAAAATAAGGGGAGACAGTGGAGTTACAATACAATTCCATTCCAGAGGATTAGAAGGGTCTGTTATGGAGTTACTATCCAAATACTGTGACTCTATTTATAACAATGCCAAGTACAGAGTTTCTCCCTCTGGGACTCTAGGAGCATGGAGCCCAGCTTGATGATGCCACTGACTCCACTCTATGTGTTACGTCACTTCATGCCTTCCACCTCCTTTTATTGCATTAATGTGGAGTATTAGGGAGTGATATAACGATTCAGAGGTGGAGGAGTACAGGTTTTTTTACCATAAATTGGGAAAAGTGTTTTCTGACCTTTGGATTAAAGTCAACCTATTCTGTTCAGTTTACCCAGTAAAGGTGTCATGCACATCTGTGACACCCGGGAGAATATTGGAGTGTTGCAAATTGATCCTTGGTAGCTATTGGTTATCACAGTTGGATAAAGCATATTTTTATGAACTGTACTTGATTACCACAGACGGACACAAATATACGACTTGTCATTGCTGGTTATCACATGCACTTTGATAGATTTTATTTTGCACCTTGATAATAAGTTTTATTGAGACAATACACAGGAGCACTTGCTTACATTTGCATATCACTATTTTTGTTTGCTTATATTTAATTAGCATTAGCATCTTGCAGGATTTTCTGATTTTGATTTTATTTAGGTAGCTTTTATTTAGACAACGAACTAATAAGAGAAAAGTGTTCAAGCTATTTTTTTATAAGCTACTGATGCATTGCTATTATACACCTGAGTTATTACATGCCATTTAACCCAACCAATCGACCCAATTGAAGACCTGCAGTCAGTCATGGCTGGCTGTGCATCCACTGCCAGCTATAGTCCAGTGCAGGCCCCCCTCCTCTTCAGGTATTGGTTGATATGATCGCTGGCATCCTAGCAACCAATGATGTCAGGTGTCCACTTCCTCGTCAGTCATTGGTTGATAGAATCGTCAGCAGTTCTAGTAGCCAGTACGTCAAATATGTTCCCCGTCCTCAGCATTGCAAGAGGACAGAAGTGTATCTTCTTCCGTCCTCTTCTGCAGCCTGCTCCGCCTCCCACCTCTAGCCTACTTATAAAGTAGTAAACTAAGGAATGTGGGGACAATAATATGAAGGGGCACTCTAATGGGAACAATGTAAGGGCCAGTCTAATGGGGACATTATCAAAACTAGGGATACTAGTCTATCTACATTTCACAGAGGCATCCGTTGTCACCACCGCACCCACCCAGTTGAATTTGGGTTTTTGTCCGGTCAGGAGTGCAGGAGTGCGATGGGACTGGAGGATTAACAATCAGGAATCCAGAAACCATCTCATGACTCACTATCCAGCTTTCTGATTGGTCAGGAACCAAGGCAGTCTCGGCAAGTAAAGCCGGTGTTCTTTTGCTAGAACACCAGCTTCACAGGTCAATCAGGAAGCCGGGTGACGTGTCATGATCCAGACCAGTACTCGGTATTGGCGAGTACCGAAAAAAAATATCGGTACACATAATCGATACCGGAGAACTGGTATTGATGCATCTTAATCAAAACCATATAATGTACTGCTTTTTTAAGCAATAACATTAATATTGAGCAGAATTAAGTTCAGCCTATTGGTTTGGCCCTCCACAACAGTCCCAGTTTCTCATATAATGAATTGCCTACCCCTGCTCTGGAATATCTTACCCATTTCCTAGGTCCACCACCAGGGAAATTCCAAACTTCTTACACACATTTTGACAGTCGTTCTGCTTAATAGCATTAAAATGGAAACACCTTACAATAACCTCGTCAGAGGAACTTCTTAACCGGATTATAGAATTATAACTACTAAACACTGATGGCTAAACTCTTGACATACATAATGAATTGTGGGAATATTGGGATATTAATATCTCAGCCCCCAGCTATATGTTTGGGATCCTTCCTCCTATACTGTTGCTTCTGATCCCATGCCATTGCTTTTTTTTCCGTTCCCCAATAGATGAACCTTTGAGTGGACATACATAACTGATATCATTGTACAAACAAATTGGATAAGCGTGTTATGTAACGGAAGTGAATAATGTTTTTTGAGCAGTTTTGTCTAGATGTGTGTCCGTGGTCAATTGCTTAATCTCTCTTTTTTCCATGTTGAAGCCTTATAAATAAAGACACAGTCAAACAAAAAAAAATATAAAATCAGTTGAAAAACCTAAAAACAAGTTATGTAAAACCGACTCAAAACCATTATTGTTTCCCTGTTATTTTTCTTTATTAATATATTCATGTTAGTGGAATTTATGTTTAAACACATATTTGTCTATGTTTAAAAAAGAACAAGAATCTGGACGCAAGACTCGGGTAATGCAAGTGGATTTTACGAATGGATCACACATCTACCAGAAGATTAAAGAAGAACTGAATGGACTGGAAATTGGAATTCTGGGTAATGAGTGACATGTTGGCTTGATATGTCTGATAAGTTTCGGACCACCCTTAATAATGTGAACTGTATATTCAATTAGGAGATGTTAGGGTGTTGGTAAAAGTCAAACCTTGTAAGCCAACCAGACATCTCCAAAAAAGTTTCATGCGCAGGGTGTGGGGAGAAGTGGGCTTTGTCCATCTCCACTATTACAACCCACTTCATCAGATGAAATTACACCGTTAGACATACAGATGATATCATTTCTCTTCTTTACCCGTCACCCAGCCCAGTATGTCAGATTTTGGTAACATGACCACCACACATCCACTTCTGTTGATTTGCCCAGTCCTTTGCTATTTTTCGCATACCTTTTTTTTTTTTTTTCAAATTACTTCTGTTGCCACTAAAGATGTGAAAGAGCCTTAAGCCTGCTAATGCAGGACACTAGTGCTTTGGGAGGGGACTCTCACAATTGTCTTTTAGGCTGGTATCAAAATGGTTGGAGACATAGCATAGCTCATAACCCATATGCTTGCTTTAATTGCAGGTGTCTTTAGTGATAGCAATGATCAAGTAGTTTTAACCAGATCACTAAAAACTTATTTTAGTGTTATAATGTCAAATGTAATTTCAAATGCTGTTTCCATTCTTTTTAAATATCCAGATTTCATTAATAAAAAAAACCTGGTGATCCTGCCATGAAGGTACTGGCACATCCTGTTTTTGGGTGACAACTGTCCCTCAATTTTGCTCCTGCATCTATGGGGCTTGTCGCCTGGCCGGAAGACAGAGGTAGACGAGCCCCATAGAAGTCCATGATGTTCCACTGCGCAGGCATGGCCAAGAGAGCAAGGACTTGCAACTTGGAATGTATATTATACCTGGAGGCTGCGGGCATTGGATCGAGGTAAGTATACAGGTGCAGAAGGGGAGTGTGGGATCTGTTAGGTCAGGGGAGAGGGAAAAAGGGAAAAAAAGGATTTGTTTTATGTGCACTTTGTTCAAAATGTACTTTAATATTCCAAGTCTTTTCTGTTTAATGTAGTATATTCAGTAATGTAGTATGCTCAGTAGTGTCAGTGTAACATAAACACCTTCAGGCTTAGTGGGGAGCTGCTTCTGTATTCCATCAGAATATCAGAAATCGGTATTATTCAGAATAATATCAATTTATTGAAGTATAATGGTACTAATAAACATCACTTTAATCCTTTGTATTCTGTAAAAGAGCTGATGGCAGACTTCCAGCACATAGTACTAATCTTTGTTGTATACAGTACATGGAACTCCAATAGGTTGAACTTGATGGACTTGTGTCTTTTTTCAACCTCAAATACTATGTAACTGTAGTTATCTATACAGCATGTGATGTATGTTCTGTGAAGATCTACATGGATAATTGGTAAGTTTCTCATGTTAATAAAATCTTTTTTTTTTTCTCAGTAAACAATGTGGGAATGAAAATATCAGAGGAGCCAACCAGATATTTGGATATTTCTGATTTAGATCAGGTATGTTCTTTTTCATTAAAGATGATTCTAAAACTATCATTGATGTATGTGTACCGAGTAGTATATATTAATGTTTATGGCTGGGACCTGAGTAGTGGGTGTCACACCCCTTGAAACATTCGTAACGTATGTGTACCGAGTAGAAAAGGGGTTGTTCGTGGATGACAATGTTCTTTTATTACCTACATGAAACAACATCATGAACTAAAACAGAATGTTTTATGTGTAAACTATGAAAAAGGTATACAGATATTCTTCATTTTGATGTGTTTATTAGATGCTGGACAAAACAATCAACTGCAATATCCTGTCAGTATTATGGGTAAGTGTATATTATGATAATATAATTTGCAGTACAACACATCCATATTAGTAATGGCAGATGAGAAAATCTTCTAAAAATGTAATTATTGAATTTGCTGTGTAATTAGTATTAGCCTTATTTTTCCTGTTTTTATAATTAGCAGTTGTTTCCTTAAAGCGAAACTATACTCACCTCTTCCCCAGCGATGCAATCTCTGAAAGCACCCTTGCCGGTGCTGACATCTTCTCCTGGGCTTCTACCAGGTTAGGGATTTTGGCCAGCTTTGATTGGCCTCACTGGGATCCTGGCATATGCCGAAAGCGTATGCGCAACTCAGTGTACATTATATGTATACAATATCATAAATTATTATAAAAAAGTTTGCATACAGACTGGTAGAGGTCCTTTGTTGTAGAAGAGACATAGTATGTCTCTTGTGCAATAAAAAGCCCGTCTGTTAGCACATTTTTAATCCTAATTTAAATTTCCAACTAGAGCTCCAAGCGTAATCACGTTCAGTGTGTGTTTGAAGGTTTGATAGTGTAGATCACAGTGCTGAATTAGGTCAGTTGTAGTGGCTGATGCACTTTCTAATAATCATGTCTGATATTTTAATGTTGCTCACACTGTACGTTTCATGCCTCAGTAAGTTATAATATAAATGCATAATTTCTTTGAAATTAGTAATTGTTTTTTATTATTATTTTTTTTTAGATGACTCGGACTATTCTCCCTCAAATGTTGCAGAGGTAAATATGGAGCTTCAAACTGGGTAACAGTTACTGAGGGCTGCATTGAGAATCTTTCTTAATGTCTTTTAGAAAGAAAGGCCTCATTATAAATCTTGCTTCTGAAGTTGGAAATCGCCCATATCCATTGTCACTTGTATATAGCGCCTCAAAAGTAAGTCTTTATGTTGGCAATTTAAATAGATATATGTTTAAGGCCCAACTGAGCTAAATACTTTCCAGGTGCATCAAAACAAAAGGTGTGTGATGTCTTATAGTTAGTTTTCAAAGCAGTTACAGCCTGAGTACAAAAGCCAACATGCTACAGGAAAGGACCCTTGCTCTCTGTGTAGAAGCAGAGCTCTCTCTGCAGATGTCTGATATGGCTCCTGCTGAGTCAGGGCAAGAGCTCTCCAATCAGCAGGAAATGTGAGCTTTGTATAATGGAGAGGTTAAATTGTGACTCATGCACAGAGAAAGGGTCCATTTCTGCAGCATGGTAGCAGAGGACAGGCTTTCTACAGAAAACAAACCAAGACTTAACCACTTCCAGCGGGTTCATGCACATCATCCGCTGGAAGTGGTTATACCAAGAACAAGGCTGCTGCTGCAGCTATGTTCTTGGTACTGTTTTAAACAGCAGATGATTGCCGTCTAAATACAAGCGATCTGGCGTCTGAATAGATGCCGGATCACTTGTATGGTGTGGTACTGTGTTTGTCCCCCCTCCACCGGTGCCTCCGTCGACTTCCCGGGCTCTGCTGTCCCCCGTGCAAGCCTAGGACCAGCATGGTGGGTCTCCCCTGAAGGATCGGAGGGAGATCGGCAGGCTTCCAGCCGCTGATCTCTCCTTCGATCACTAGAGCTGGAATGTATGTGCATTACATCACTTCCGGTGTCACTAAGCACATTCTCTGGCTCCTAGAGCCAGAAGAAGAAGTTGGTGAAGCAGATCTCTGCTTCATCAGCTTCTTTGGGGTCCCTAGGTAACATTAGGGGTCTGAAAGACCTCTGATGTCTCCATAAAGGGGGCCTGTCACACCCTATCTGCTATTACATATTACATAAGGGCTTGCTAGCCCCCCTATGTGATAGCAATAAAATTTAGTGTTAAAAAAAAATGTTTTAAAGTCCACCGTCCCCCACGTGCACACACATGCAACACAAACATGCGTCTGATATGCCTGCGTGCACAAATGAAAATTGTGCCACACATGTTACATATCGTCGTGAATGTGGGAGTGAACGCAGTAATTCTAGACTTATCAATCACTGTTAGCACTAAACTGATGAGCAGTAAAAGTGTTTAGAGTGTCGCCTATGGGAAATTTTGGTTATTGTAGTTTTGGGATCTATTTACCCAGCGTGATCCCATCTTTTATATTTTGCCAAAAATGTGGGTATTATATTCTGTTTCTGTGCACTAAATTTAATTTTAGTGTTTTTATTCCTAAAAATACTTGTTCGATAAACATTTGCACAAATACCGTTTTCAGAACATATATAATTGTTTTGGAGTCTGAAGCTGTTTTTTAGCCAAAAAATTCAGATTATATCATGTGTGTGCAAATGTAAGAAATTGCTCCGGGCAGCAAGTGGTTAAAACACCTTTTATTTTGGTGCACCATTTTACATAATTCAGTTGGGGTTTCAGTAAGTGATTTTGACAATTTGATGGCAAGTCGGCTAACCTCCAGAGATCTTTTGTGTGTGTTTTTTTTTTCTAACACAATTTCTAGAACAGAAATTGCTGTTGTGGATTTCTCTGCCACCCCAGGGGAGTAACTGCCCCATCACCACAAATATTAGATCATGATAAGGGCCTCTTGCCCCCTTGTAGGGGCAGTCATGGTTGGGTTAATAGATACTGAATAGTTCCCTTTACATTTAGTCATCTGTATACTAAACACAATAACATTTACAGTATACTCATTACATATGCTAAGTTTATCCAGTGGCGTAACAATCGCCATAGCGACCCAGGGGCCCGGCCATCCCTCTGATGCCATGTGGGCGTCACCGACACAGCTCAGCAGCAGCGTTTTCCCTCACAGCCGCTACGGAGCTGTGTCAGTGACAGCCAGCAGCTACGGCAGAAGAGGCCAACGTTTTGCAGTGAATGAGGAGGCGGGGCCTGCCTTAGAGCAACCCGCCTCCTCTTACATCACTGGCCAGCGACCTAAGAGCAGGTGGGGCCAGTGATGTAAGAGGAGGCGGGCCCGTCGATAGAAGATGAGGCGAACAGCGCTGACAGGTAAGAGGTGTGCAGCCCATCTGAGACCCTGCAGAGCCCATTATAGAGAGTCTATGGTGGGCTCTGAAGGGTCACTCTCAGGTGGGCTGTTTGGTATATCAGGTGGGCTCTGCAAGTGGCAGAACTAGCAATCACCGGGCCCCATGCAAAATTTTGCTATGGGGCCCTGTGTTTTCTAGTTACGCCCCTGAGTGTATCGCAAATATATTTGAATAGTATCCTGTGAATTGTGATTATTTTTATTCGATTTATCCTTTGTGCTTTAGGTCTTTGTGGATTTCTTTTCTCGTGGTCTACATGAAGAATACAAGTCTAAGGGTATAACAGTGCAGGTAAATCACTCTCTCAGTCTAAAGTAATGGGAAATTCAATTTCTCTGTATGATAGCATTCTACTTAGAATCCTTTTAAACACTCTACAATATACTGTATTTGTGCATATTTTAGTTATTGATTTCAGCTCACAGGTAATTTTCCAATTGAGGTGGCAAATAATTAAATATCACTTACATGATAATAATAATATTAATATTAATAATTCTGAAGTGTATGTATGCATGAAGATGAATGTTTTAGAATGTGGAAAATCTCTTCTGGTTGCAGTAATCTTGCCACAGCCTGGAGTGTTGTTTGAATGTAGACAGATTAGCACAAGTACCAGCAAATAGAGTTCAATAAACTTTTCACTGCCCATGTAGAAACCAGTTTGTTTAATATTTAATGATATTTGATGCTTTCCGGATCTGAACCCCAAAACACTGCACCATGATGTGACTTGCAGACAGTCTCTTAGGGGGCCATCAGAGCCCTGTCTATATCAGCCCGTGCTTAGTGCAACCAGACAGCCTCCTACCGGCTGCTTATACAGTTCACTGAACCCTACAAGCAGCAGTCATGCTGTGTGCAATTGTGCTGGTACGTTTTCCTGAATGCATTTCATAGCACCTCTATATGGCTATCTACACCCTTAGCTGCTGTAAACATGTTACTATTCATCCTAATGCTTCAGCATTCCATTTTAATGAAGGGCACATGTATCTATAATGCATGGGCTTACTAGTTTCTGCATAACTTCTGTAAAAGTCTGACATTTTTCTGTAGACAGACTTGCTTTGTTTTTGCCTAACTGGTAGAATTTCTACTACAGAGTGTGATGCCATTGCTTGTCTCAACGGACATGACCTATAAAATAAAGACAAACATATTTGTGAAATCTCCTGAAGAGTTTGCTTCTGAAGCATTGGACACGGTGGGATACACTAACAGAACCAGTGGATGTCTTTCACACTCCCTCCAGGTAAAGGCAACTGTAGTTCTTATGGTTGAGTAATAAAAAGAGGAGCAGTCCAAAGGTGTAGTCTGTAACAGCCTAAAGTTCCAGGATTCATGTTTTTTTTTTGTCTGTTGCAAGCTACCAACTGAAGGGATTAGTTCACTAGGCAACGGCTCTCCTTTCCTAATACTGTAAATCATTACACACTTTGATTTTATAATTTGGAAGAGTAAACATCATTTTATTTTGGAAGCATTTTAGGAACCAGCAGTTTTTTTTTGTTTTTTTTTTAACTTATTACAGGTATTTATATACCTATTTATTTAGTGATATACATACTATTCATTTACATCAGTCCCTGCACTCAAGGAGCTTACAATCTAAGGTACCTATCTCATATGAACACATACTGGGGCCAATTTAGACAGGAGCCAGTGAACCTACCACCATGTCTTTGGATTGTAAGGGGAAACCCATGCAAGCACAGAGAGAACATCCAAACTCTATGCAGATTGTGTTCTGGCTGAACCTGCAATTTCAGTGCTACATGCAGAAGTGCTAACCACTGGGCTGCCCAGTTAGTAATTACATGTTCCTCTACAAGAGACAGGTCATACACACCATACACATGAACCTCACATGCACAGCTGTCACAGATAATCAGTTGACATTAAAATTATTCATTCAGACAGAATCACAGGTGTGAATGGGCCCTTAATCAAATATTTGTTATCCTCCTCTTTCAGTGCACAGTCCTCATGTTTTCAAGACTGCTTGTTCGACGGAAGACATGCGACCGTACAGTAGAAACGGTCGCACGCCTTCCATACACTGTACCTTTATCGTACGATCGCGGGATTTCCCGCGATTCTCGTATGACAATCGTACAGTGTATGGGCACCTTTACAATTGTTCCTGGTTTATACATTTTATAATTGCATCTGGTACTTGATAAAGTTTGAAGAGTAAACTTCTTTTCCTTTAGAGGAACTTCAAGAACTGGTAATTGGTTCAAATGCCAGCCAGGTCACTATCTGCAAGGAATTTGCATGTTCTCCCTGTGCTTGTTTCCTCCCACACTCCAAAGACATGCTGGTAGGTCAATTGGCTGCTCTCTAAAGGTGCCCATACACCTTACAATCATCTTACGACTTTCGTTGTGCAGATCGTACTTGCCGTTCGTGCATTTGTCTTCCGAGCACACCACTAATCCGCCGTACGCTGTGTCGTACGATAATCGACAGGTGTATGGGCACCTTAAGTTGGCCCTCTATGAATGAATGTGAGATAGGGACCTTAGATTGTAAGCTCCTTGAGGGTAGGGACTGATGTGAATGTGCAACTATGTAAAGTGCTGCGTAAATTGTCGGCGCTATATAAATACCGGAAATAAATAAATAAAATCACATGATCCTCTACAAGGCATGTGCCAATGATATGGATTGTTTACCAACTGGAATGCCACAGCTACATATATCTAGTTATCAAATCTAGGCCACATGAGTACAGTATGTATATTGTATAAGGCTGTGTTGAAGCAATACTTAATAACATGGCACTCCACATCCTCTTTATATTGTTTCAGAGTTATGCTATTGACCTCATTCCAGACAGCATTTTTCATTTTCTGCTGACTGCGGATTCAGTTGAAAAAAGTTTCAACAGTTTGAAAAAAGACTACATCAAAAACAAGAAAGAGAAATGAGCGTAATATTGATTGTTTTTTTTTAAATCACATTCTCTTTCTATATATGTTTAAGAAACAGGCCATAATATTTTCAAATGTAATAAATGTCAGATAAACTACTCTCATATAGATGGCGTCATATTATAGTAATAATAATAGTAAAAGGAAACTTCTCCATGATGTCTGCTGATGCATTTTATAATAATTAAGGTTCAACATGTTTTAGAAATATGGATACAGCCAATTTGCACCATTTAGTAAATAAAAGGTAATGATTATTTCATCAGACATTAAAAAATTAATAATAAAGGGTTATGATGCTGGTATGTGATTTAAGTACATTTCCTGGTTATACCTTCTTACATGTTGCCTATGGAAGTAGTGGCACACAATAACGGCAAACACGAAATAGGAAAAAATATATTTATATGCTCAGTACAATGGCAATAGATATTGATACAACAGAAGTAACAGCTTCAGCTACAGAGCAGAATCATATTGAGAGGCAGTTTACAATGCTTCAAAGAAATAGTGTAAATCTGACAAAAGTGTACTACTATTGTAAGACAAATGGGGGTGATTTCAACTAATAATAATAATATTAATAAATAATATCCGTATTATTTATCAACACCCACTTCTTACTGTTCGAGAGGGGTAGATCAGCTAAGAAACACACACCATGAACTGTAGGTTTAAAATAATATATTGTACCAGGAATTTAAACATACACAGCTTGATCATTGATAAATAAATGATTACAATAATAACAAAAACTACAAACCATCTATCAAAAAGTACTACAACAGGAACACAACCAACAATATTCAAATAACAATACTATCTGGTACCTCAATACCTTTATCAATCGATAAACAAACTGTTCTCCCAATTTGTCTGGGCCCACAAACCGCCGAGGATGAAATTCACACTTCTACGCCTCTCAAAGGCAAACGGAGGTATTGGCCTACCTGACGCCTCGCTTTACTACACTGCCTGTCATCTAGCTAGAGTAGTGGACTGGTGCCAGGACGCCAGTCCTAAGCCCTGGCTACAGGTAGAACAGGCGGCCTCGGCTATCCCTCTACACTGCCTCCCTTGGTGTAACTCGCTCGTACCAGCAGAGATCAGATCACACCCGACAGTGGGAGCTACCTGGAAGATATGTAGGAAAGTCTTTGACACCCTACTTATCTCGCCACACCCCTCCCCTCTCTTCCCGATACTGGGAAACCCAGGCTTCACTCCAGGGCTGGAAGATGGGACCTTTAAATCACTTAGATTAGCAAAATGTTTCAGAGCTAAACACTTTATAGGTAATGACTCGTGGCCAACCAAAACGCTCCTACTGACAGATCCCAAAACAGCCATCCTTGGCTTCTGGAAGAATATCCAGCTCTCTCACTTCCTTCACACGTTACCAGCGGCCACCAACTTCTCCTGCCCGCTCACTGCCTTTGAAGCGGAATGTGATAATATGGACCATCTGAGACATGCAGTCTCTTACATGTACTCTTTACTGAATGCCCCCATAGCGGAGTATACCCCCGTTTACATTCGCAAGTGGGAACGGGATCTGGGGATCAGTTTCACATCTGCCCAAATAGCGAGACTTCATTACTTCACCTTTAAATCATCCATTCACACGAAAATCCAGGAATCCGGATTTAAGCTGTTTACTCGCTGGTACAGGACCCCTCAGCTCCTCCACTCGATGTACCCTTCGGTACCCGATAGTTGTTGGCGCTGTCAGGAAGCTACAGGAGATCTACTCCATATCTTCTGGACCTGCCCCAGAGTGACCCCATTTTGGTCATCTATTAAGTCCCTACTAGGCAAATTTACAGATAGGGAAATCCCGCAAGACCCAGCTTTTTTTCTTCTCCGTCACAACTCCCTCCCCAGGAAAAGCTATAAGGCCTCTATCCTTCCACACCTCCTGAATGCGGCACGTTGTTGTATTCCAGCTCTGTGGAAATCGACCCATACGCCCACGGTGTCCATGTGGCTTCATAAAGTTGGAGAGGTGGAGAGAATGGAGAACCTGGTCTGGTCTGGACGAGGCCAACAAGCTATGCACTGCAGGACATGGTTCTATAGGACCGCTTTCACGCAGACGACCGAATACCATACCTTGTTGCAGGGCCCCCCTTAGGGGTAGACTGCGACCGAACACGTAGCGGCAGCTGCCCGGGAAACAGCGCCTGGCCCCCTGGTCACCTGTCCTCATCTCCCACCCCTCCCTTCTCCATACCCGTCTACAGCTCCTCTCCCCTGCCTGCTCCGCTCCCCTCCTCTTCTTCTCCAAATGAAATCCACTACCCCCACCCTATCTAGACTCTGGCCCCCACACCCCCCCTTCCTCTCTGGTAATATCTCTGTGGTCTGTTTTAGATGGCCGACAGTGGGGGATGGAGTGGCTAGTACCGGCGCTTGGCCCTCGGGTTTCACCTGGGCCCGCGGCGGTGCGCGGCGACTTCCACCACTCTCGGATATACCTCACTTTACATATTGCTTCTACACAATCCTCATGTGCTTCAGTGTATATGTGACCTTTCCACCCGGGTATCTTTCGCTGGGACCTGCGATAGCTACATGACTGCTGGCTACCATGTAAGCCTTTTAAGATGGTGACATTATAACCACAGAATACACTGCCATGTTTAGGTGTCATACTGTTTATTACCAGTGCTACCTGTATTACTTGTATCCCTCCCTTTCTTTTGTTTGGAAAACTGGAAAATCTTGAAATAAAGAATTTATAAAAAAAATAAAAATAACAATACTAAAGAGAAGACACAAAACCAACACCTCTACAACACATGAAATATCATCAACTGGTTGTCATAACTTGTCAGTTGAATGTACATCTATTACCCATCCTGTAAGATTTACACTGGTTTTGGACTGTGGTTCTAGACAGGTTTTGGGCTGTGGTTCCCAAGATGGCTTCCTCTCAGATGGCCGCCTCTCTCGCTCTGATGGCCTTCCAATGGCTCTGGCCTCTGCCTCTTTATCCTAGCGAACCTAATTCACAATGAGTAGGAACCCCTGATTGGCCCACAAAACCTAATCAAAGCTATCTCACGTTAGTGATTGGGTGGCAGCTTAAGTCTCTTTCATCTAACAACACCTAGGTTGGCTATAACATGGTTAGTTCCATTCTGTCTCTGAGAAGATGATATGCATATTATCATGAGTGTTATCTTCCTGAGCTCACGGACACTCCTAAAATACCACTTGGCGTAAAACCAGTTGTACATTTTAGCATATTAGGGTGACCATTGATCTCAAGGAGGCAACACCCAACATTCCTGCTCTCACAGACCAATAGGGGAGATCTGCATGGTAGATTAGCATACTAACGAACACATTCCTTTCATTATACTCTGCTCAGAGAAGTTGTGGTCGTTCATTTACAATCCTATTCACACATGGGTGGCATCTGTACATGCTTAGTCAAGTTACACCTTTTAAGAATCCTACTCCATATACACATATTAAATTATTAAATGGATATATACAAATTGATTTTATTTTAATATGGGCCTTGGGATTTCTTACACCAGTTTTTAGATGTGGTGGCTGTATTTTGTTTTGTTTTTCAGGATTTTTTTCCCCTTTCTTTTTCACCTGGTAATCCTGCCAGTAACATTTTGGGAACCATTTATAAAAGTTCAGTTCACAATGCACTAGTAACCCTAGGTGGCGCTGCCGAGTAGAGGAATTTCATATACTTGTCAGCGCCATCTAGGGGCACTAGTGCCATGCGAATGGCATCCTTCTACTTTTATAAATCAGGTAGATGGATATCACCAGCACACCAAAAATGTTGTAGTCGATGGTGCTTGTTTATTTCAAATCGTCATGTCTTCAGAACTAGCGCTTTCGGGGGCGCGCAGGGTCCCCTTCATCAGGCTCAGCAATGATGAGCCTCATCATTGCTGAGCCTCATGAAGGGGACCCTGCACGGCCCCGAAAGCGCTAGTTCTGATGACATGACGTTTTGAAAAAAACGATCACTTTCTACTTCAACATTTTTAGTGTGCTGGTGATATCCATCTATCTATATTATCTGGAGGCGCCATCCACAGTCATTACAAGCACCTCCCCTCATTTAATTAGGATTTTCCGGTAAGGAGTGCGACAAGGTAACGTTTGTTACGTTTGTTACTTTTATAATTCATCCCCAAAACGTTCATTTGGGGTTCATTTTTATAAATTAACCATTTTCTGTCCAAGGATGAATAGCTCACTGTTCTTAAATGCAGGATAGATGCATCCAGGGTCAGTGTTCTATTCCAAACCGTATGTAGTGGTATCACATACTATTACAGGTGATCTGTCACTTACAGAAGTGGCTGCTGTCATCCGGTCATTGACTTGAACAGGTACAGCAGCCTCATCTAACCTGGACATTTCGGATTCCTGCTGCAGGAATCCAAAATCGCCCAGTGTGTATGAGGCCGAAGGCTTTACTTACACTTTACATCAGTATATTTCTGACACTTCTAATACATCTAGACCTTTCTAGTTATTGCTCATCATATCTTCATTTATGCTTCACTGTGTCTGCTTCCTCAGAGCAGATGATTACACCCAAAACCTTATTTCCTGTTTTACTTAATGCTGTTAGTCTACATGCTTGTATTTTGGGAACTTAGGACCATGTCACATGAGCGATCCTGTAGCTGGTAATAACTTGCCAGCAACAGCAATACTAACAGAGTGTATACACACAACTTCTGTGCTGAAAGCAAGCATCCAAATTTTCAAGTGTTCTATCTGCCGGCATATATAAGTAGTGCATACTTCTCTTCTAATACAATTCTAATATGCAGCGCTGTAAATATTTAAATAATAATACAGTGTTTAACAACAAACTCATCTATAAGTGCATCATAATCCATTATAAACTCTTTGATAAAACGATTTATAACAAAGTGCGTAAGTTTTCAATAAAGTGCATACATTAAAATCACACGTGTCACTGTGTATCAATCCTGTACACAAAAATA